TCATATTTTTGAAGTTTAAAGCCTTAGAAACCGAAAATTAAAGCAAAATCCTGCCAAAATGAGACTTTTGGTTCCTAGTTTTGAATTCCCGCCAGGCCCCCATGAGAGCAGTTAATTGCTACCAACTGTTGTAAGAATATTGAAACAGAATACTTAGCATAACAGTACTTGATAAAATCTTATTTGATCAAAAACCATTATTACACATTACTATTTATACTTTTTTCAAGCTTTATAATCAGATTCAATAGGAAATTTCTCTCGATCCAGTCAAGTTCTTTCACTACTGGTAGTGCCATCAATTTTCTAAAGTTGCCTAACCTGTAGCAAAATTACTCACGCTTCTGAAGCATTGGCTAGATTGGATGTTAGCGATCTGGACTAATCTGTGCTCTTCCTGAAAAGCATGGCTATGAGACCAAAACTTAGATGCGATTTCAGATTAAATGAAACTGTGCTTAAAAACGTTGGATAAATGATGGATTTTAAACTTTGAAATCCTATGCAAGTATTATGACTAGTTGAAACACAGACTTAGTCCCATAATTTTGTTCAACCTTTATTTTATTTTTTCCATCACCTGACAAATGAATAGGTTCTTACTTGTTCCATGTACAAGAGGAGGGGTTCTCTGTTATCGAGCCAGTACTCAGACAAATTTGCTTGATAAGGATACTTGAAGCATCCCAACTCCAATGTCAATTCCAAACATTCTGCCTGAAGGTAATTGTAATCTTGCATCCCACCTGTTACTGAGTACCATACGTTTCCATTGATCACTCCTCCTGGAAACTTGTCGTTGTAACCAGGACATGATTTGCCTAGGTGCATTTTCGGATGAGCCTGATAATTGAACAAAAAAATAGACTTTGATACATACTAGACTGTAGAGCAAAAGGAAAGAGTTGAAAATATGACAACATGCGGTGTTAAAATAATCCTGAAATACCGCCCATCCTAGTTCCTTCTACTTGATTCTATGATTCAGCTGCATTTTATAGGTACTTCCCTTATGAAGCTAAATGATTAAATTATAGTTTCTAGTGGTGTGGCTTGAATGATCGATTATCGATATTTCCCCATTTGAATCCGTGGTAAAGAATTAATTATTAAGGTGTTCACTGCGAATACCCTGTTAATCGATCCTTTTCCAAAGGTTTAAATGACAGATCAATTGATACATCGCACAGCACGCCACGCCACTGTTAGTTCCTCTTCATGTATTTCAGAAAAGCTGTGATGTCAAAAATTAGAAAAAAGATAAAGCAGGGTGACAAACGATTAATATTTTTTACAATACCAGATTACTAAATGGATATGAGAAACTGCGGCTCTGCAATCTAGAGAGGTCTTCATGAATAATTTTGTCATCAACAAAATCATCTTAAATTCTGCGAGTACTCCAATTAAGTTATACAAATACAGTTAAAAATTAAATATAAGAACAGTCAAATTATTTCATTATCTTGATGGCTAGTTCCTCTGAATTGATATAACAATTGATTCCAAAATTAACAAAAATTAATCAGTAACCTGGGAAAAATCGTTATTTTTTTCCCTTTGACTTTAAAAATATAGAATACTTTCAATATTATTCTTCATTATTCTACTTCCAGCTTTGCTCTGAATTGTAACACGATATGGGCAGATATTACTTCTGCATCGATCAAAAATACTTTTTGGATAAAAAAAATATCACCCAAATATGTACTAGTTTAGAATCTTCCAAACATAAACATGACTATATTTGGACATTTTAATCATAGGTTTCGGCAAGAGTTTTGTCTACCACATATTTAAAAGATTTAAAGTATGTATTCTACTTACATTTGCATACAAATGAGCCAAAAATGTGAAGATTTCATTGTCAGGCGACGTGTTGAGGACACCATCCTGTTGATTTTGACTGTCATCGTAGGGATAGTTAGCCACGAGGGCACCACCATGAAGATTGGCCGACAGGACAAAATGATACTCTTTCAACCACTTAATTACTGCTGCAACTTCTGGTTGCATAGCTCTATTTTCCTAGAATATTGACAGAACAGCAAGTCAAAAAAATGAAATTCATGAATAGGTTAACCATTTTAAGAACTCTTGCTTCCTATAAATTTAATTTGATTCCCGCCTGGAATTGCATGGTTAAAGGTGAATTTTTATACAGCTGGCCTCATTTATTCCTTATCCCCTCATCTTCACTCAGATCAAGCATCAAGCATCAGATCAAAACTACTTGTAAGGTAAGCCAAGGCAAAATTTTTTTATGCGTTGACATGCAAAAATCTCAGAGGATCAATTGCTGGAGGGATGTTGACTTATTTAGCACCAAACCTGGCCAATTACATAAGTTAAAAATCTTCATAACATACCTCAAATACACCGTATTGGTCAGGGAAATTCCTGTTTAGATCAATGCCATTAGCATTTGGTCTTCCATTCAAACTGCTCCGATCTCCTAAAATATTTCAAAACAAGAATAGATGCAGAGTTACAAAAAAAAGGGTATGTTTCCACTCAACCCAATATGATGCTCATCTTACTCAACGTTGCTGGATTGTGTCATTAAATGGGGATATTTTCCATGGGTTAAAAAGTGGAAAATGGATGATTTTTTACCACAATCTGGCAACAATGATCTTACTGTTTTCAATCTTACAAATGTACTAATCTTTTTTGAGAAAAGGATAAACCTCAGTGGGCAGCATCCTCAATTGAAACCTCAAATGAAACACTATGTGACTGCTTTGTTTTTGTTAATTTGTTGCTCTTAAATGCTTTTCATAAAAGGAACCAGTCGAGAAGTTACCATTTTAAACATTCTAGAATCAATATATTAGTTTTGGCTTTTCTGAAAAATTTTACCATAGAAAATAAAGTTTTTACCAGATTTACAAACTGACACTGAGACTAGAAAAACATTTGCGTCTCAAAATGTCTTTAACTGTTTTGTTCCTTTAAAAAAGTATCATTACCTGATATTTGTGCTTGGACGTTTCAGAGAAAACACTTTTGAAGATTATGAAACATCATTCAAAATTTTGTGGAATATAATTGATTGATCATCCTCCAAAAGAGTAATACATTGCAGAGAATCTGCAATGTTTACAAACAGATACCTAATTTTCTAATCTTACCATTGAGATTTAGGTTTCGTTACAGGCTTTCAAGACACTAACTTCTTAAAATTTAAAATTTTTGTCGAAAAAAGTCTTACCTTCTTTGGACATTTCATACCCATCTGGGTTCATTGAAGGCATTAGATGAATTCTTGTACTGTTAACGATCTTTGTGACCCGATCATCCAATCCATAGTTTTGCAGTAGATAGTTCGCGAGGAGTAGTACCATTTCCCGCCCAACAACCTCATTTCCATGCATATTGGCAACATATTTAAACTCAGGTTTTCCTGGAAAAGTCAATTCTTTTTTAGTAAACATTTAAAACAGTTTCCTCTCTTGAAAAATTGCAACCTTGGCTTGGAGAATCCCTGGCATTATTTAGTTTTGAATTTAGGAGAGACGGACGGAAGATAGTAAGTGCAAAAACACAAGTAAATCTCCTTTTACATTAAGCACAGCGTCCTTTAAGGGGGAAGAATCGATTTCAATGATTTTATCATGCTGTTTCAAATCATCATCTTACATTCAAAGAGGCAAAATAGGGCTTGCCAAGGTTTTGTGGAAAAAATATATGAATAATTTCTTCTGATATTAAAAATTGGGCTTATGATGGCTACAGAAATACTGCATCATAGATTTTATAGAAAAAATACCTGGCTCATGAACTCTTGGGTTGGTGGAGATCTCTAGTACATACAGTTTCCGCTTCTTAACACTTTCCCCGATAGAGTAAAGCCTTGTGTACGATGGATAATTTTCAGCTAGAAAACGGAGTACTTTTTCCATCTTCACATAATTGTGATGGATAATCGGGGTAGGTAAAAGGAATCCATATTTGTCTCGGAGTGGTTCAGTAAACTCTTTGACCTTGGTGCCTGGAGCAGAAAAAATAAAAAAGCATTTATTCGTTACAATTTTATGAAGGAAATCTGAGGAATTTCATAGATCTTTTTTGACTGTTGGGCAAAAATTAAATATACAAAGGTGACAAGTTGATGTTGATCATAAGTTTGTAATGACCTAATAAAATTAAAGAAAGGCTGATTTTAAGGGTGAGTTGAGGCTAGCCTGCTAGGGAGTCATTCCTGTTACCAACCATTTATTCTGTCATCATTTGCAGCCGAAACTCTCTGCATTAGTGAATTGATTTTCATGTTGTCAGGAAAATATGATCTCTATTTGCTCAGGACTTACAATACTGAATCATACTCTCCGAGCATCAGCTTGGATCAATTATGATACTTCGAAAAAAAATATTAAAAAATAAAATGAGAAATATAAAAAAACACAAAGCCAGCAATATTTTTCTTGAAATTAAATTGGCTTCATTAAAGTGTTGTGGAAATTACGATTATTTTTTAGTATTTGCAAACGTCTTCACTTTCTCACTTCTTTGAAATTAGAAATTGTGGCTTACTGACACACCAGAGAGACAAAATTCAGCAAAACTTGATTCAACTTTCAGATTTCTAAAGAGTAATGTACAATTATTTTCAAGCCTTCCACAGCCACAGCAAAATCTAGTTTGAATAAGTTTTACTCAATTTTAAATTGGAAAAATCAACGAATTTCTCGTCAGGATGGGCTGAACGAGACGGCCTTATACACCATCATGCTGATATGATAGAAAAAAAGGATGAAGCGGTTTAGACAGAAAAAAGCCAACCTTCTCTATTTGGAGTGGCAAGTTTTGAAATCAGAGCCAAGGCAATACATTTATACTCATGAAGCTGATGTTGTGAAATTAAATGCTTAAGAACATCTTCCCAATTTTTGAACTTGATGAGAATGAAAATAGAAAGTCTACACTTCTACTGGACTGGACGGAAAAAAACAAATATTTGTACAAATAAAATTTCCACAAAATCACAAAATACTTTTACAAATGCTTAAATTCCTCCACATCTAATCGTCATCTCAGAAAGACAAATTTTTATTCAAATAACAGAGGAAAATTGGAACAGATTTTGAGCATTATCTTGATTGAGAAATATCATATTTAGAGTCATTATTGAAAAAGTTACATAGACTGAAATGACTGAGGTGTTGATGCAAAAATGTAATATACCTAGTTCATGGTTAATCGGAACTCTTACATGAACTCTCATACCTATTCTAGAGAGGAAATGCACAGGCAATTTTTTTAAATTTAAAATTAAGTAGTACTTGTTCGTCTACATAATGAAAGCAAAAGAATAAGAAAGAAAAAATAAAATCCCTAATTTTTAATGATTACAAAACAACTAGGTCTTGCTCTGGTTACATGTTAAAGCAATCCTGATAAATTTTGGATTCATAGGTTTTAAGAGTTTGGCGTTTTAGTTAGAAAATTAATCATTTTCCTATTCCAGGCTAGATTATCAAAATAAAAAATTGATTATAATTAAAGCTAAATGTTTGGAAACACAGAATACTTTGGTCATTTACTTGCTGAAATTGAACAAATTCTTACATTCTTAAAAGAGAGCATTATTCTTCATTACTTTAGCAGAGGTACTGAAATTTTGTTTTGATGGCTTGAGTTTGATTAAATAAGAAAATGTTCAGCAAGTAAAAATGTTTTTATTAACCCATGCACAAAAATTTACAATCGGAAATAAAAGCTTACATAAAATGCGCACCATTTACCAAATTTGGAGTAAGAAATAAGGGAACAAATAGAAGTACATAACACAATTGGAAAAGAAAAAACAAAGAACTTGAAAAAGCAAATTTAAAGCCATCAAATATGTATACATAAATAAGTCAAATACCTCCAAATTAAAATGCGTTTCTAGTGGATATGTTTTGATTATTTGAGACCATTAAAAATTTTTAAAAAAAATTCGACAAGAAATGCTCTAAAATTAGGGCAGGCATTATTAAAAATATTTCGTGCTTACAATTAATCTATCCAGTTATGAGAATTCTACCATCACGATAATAAACAAATAGTTAGTATTCTTCTTCAAGAGTAAAGAGAGTGAGTAGCAAATAAAAAAATTATGATACTGAGGGCAAATGCTACCGATTAATAATTAATATTATCATTCACCAACACAAACAGTAAAAGTATTCTGTCACATTCATTTTAGTCTCATCCTAAATTTTTCTAGAACTAGTATACGATGAGAAGTACTTAATATTATCATAAAAACTTGTGATCTGTCTTTAAAGATTCATGAGCGCATTAAAAATAGAACTAAGCTTTACTGCAAGGGAGCTAGAGATCCAAAAAGTCCATTCCTCTCCCCTCAGAAAATCTGCGCGAGGAATAATAACGTTCAACACCGATTTCAATATTCTGAATATTAAAATAAAAAATGTGTTTACAAAGTTTCAAGAAGAGAGTATATGACAGTGAATCTTGCAAAATGTTCCTTAAATGAGTCAAACTTCAAACTTTCAAACTTCGCCAAAGTGAATAAATCCATGTTGTGCTGCATGCTAAAAAACTGGGTATTTTTTAGTTAAAAGGACTTGTTATTACTAGAATTATATGACAAAAATAAAATAAGATGCAGTTTAAACAGTTAACAATCAAGTGAGATAGTCGCTGTGTCTTTTTTTTTTCCTGGCTTTATTTGGTTCAAATTTTGTTCATTTTCTCCTTCGTGAAAATTTCTAACATTTTTACCGTTTTAGAATTTATTTGACTCATTTTCCATGCTGAGAATAACCACTTCCAGAGACTACTCTATTTTGTAAAACTATCCACAACATAGCTCTATCAAATTTTCCATCTTTTCAAAATTACTTTAAGTGTATTGTACCCTTATAAAACTTCTGAAAGGTGTATGATATTAACAAAAATATATGATTCTAACATAAAAGATCAAATCAGGCACTAGTTTAAAAGGTGAAAAATATTATATTAAAATTGTGAAGGTAAATTGAGAGAAAAAAACCTAGTTTTCTGAGGAGCATTTTTTAAAAGTATTTTTGGTTTGATGTAAAAAAAACACAGAAGAAAGAGTGTAATGATATACTTTTGAAAGCTCTGTTTCCCAGAAAAATCAATTCAGGGTTCTACAATCAAAATGTAAAAAACATTGGTAGATCCTTAAGATAATGTTGTACAACCTGATTTTTTCTTTCCATTTCCATCTTTCTCTTTCACTTTTGCATCTCTTTTCCAAAAAAATTAGGGTTCCAGCACTTTCAGAAGTCACTTGATTGACGCAAGGACTTATCTATCTAGGGATCACGTTATTGATGTTTGAATTGATAGTTCCGTGCATTGGCCACTACTAGCCTGACATATTCCTTTCATTTCATCCAATCAAAAGACTTCTTCCACCTCAACAGTTAGGTAACGTTGCAACGGTCTACATATCAATAGAGTATTATATTTTAGTGTGATATATCAGTTAGGAGTTCCCATCATCATTACTTCTAGTGCTTCAATATTATTTGTAATCTCTCATCCTCATGAATGTTATACACATTTTTTCAAATTATTTTTTTTACATATTATATAAATAACTCAAATAATTTCATTTACTCAATTGTTTTCAAATAGTGGAAAAAGCGTTGAAGGAATTTTTTGGTTGTCTCTGAGAGAGTAACTTACAATAGTCTTATTAGAAATATTTGTAATAAACTTATAGAGAAACAAGGGGAACATTGCATTAAAAAAGAGCAATATCACAGCATCTTGGGGGAAATGAGGGGGGAAGAATGTATATATAAATTCTGAACTTATTCAAAGAGAAATATAGGAGAGAATATGTGGGTGGCTGCTAGTGTTTTTTCTGAAATTTCATGTGTATCTTTCACAGCATGTCTACCATAATGATCTGTTTCTGATTCATTAATAACTTTCACTTGAACTGGTTGTTGGAGAAGGAAGCAAAGCAAGTTTCACCATGAACAAATAACTGGGAAATCAACTTTGTTTTAATTATTTTTTCTGTCCAGGCTATATAATATGACTCAGTCTCTGAGAAGGGACTCGAGGTTTTAAGATTAAAAATTGAAGTTACTGGCACCATTTCATGAGGAATGGACCGATGGATATTTTGGAATAGGTTTCAACCCATATCTCAAAAATTAAAACAGAGTAGATGAATAAAGTCTAGGACCAAAGAACCCAAGTTCAGTGAAAAATTTATATCGATCCCTTATTAAAATACTTGAGTCTGCAGAAAGATCGTCTATAGCTACAAAGTGTACATACTTTACATAAAAAATAAAGTTCCCAAAGCTTCGATCTTAAAACCCTGTCACTGAGAAGTTTTTACGGGGAGGAATACAGTCTCTTTTCACACATCCATTCACAAGTGCAGAAAACTATGAAAGACATTGCAACTACGTCTATACAACACAACAGCTTTGAGCAGGAAGAGGGATAGACATATAAAGAGAGAGCCCCAACCTCAAAGACAGTGCAAGCACGTACAGAAGCACCATTGACGAAAGTTCTAGATATAAAATTAACTATCCAATTTAAACTGGAAACGCTACAGGAATGATTACGATAAGAGATACAGGATGTCTTTTTTTGTTCAGATTTAGTCTTTAATAGGAACACGATGGTAAAAGCCTCAATCCTCTGACCATCAGATATTACTGGGATGTGATGTTCGGCTTTAGTGGCTCAAACTCGAAAACCGGTATTGTTATTGTTTCATCTGTTTCGGGACAGAAATGAGAAAAATAGCTGGAATTATTCTTTTCTGTGCAACAAAGCAATAACAACACTAAGGAAGTGTTAAAAATAAAGCATTCTTCTATTATGTTAATTTTAAATATTGAGCAAAACACAATGTTTGATGATATTGGAAGCAGATGTTTATTGAAGCGGAATGACTTCAGTCTCTTAATGAACTTGCCATGAGAGAATGAAGCTAGATCATGATGTGAAACATTTTTGTAATAAATTAATTGAAACTATCATACACTGTCCAGGTTTCATTCTGAAAGTAAGTTTTCTCAGACTCAGGCACATTCTCCTTGCAGTTTACAGGGAATTTGTAGTTTTGTGACAGAAACTCCAGCTCTTGCTCAAAAGGCAACAAATATTTTAAACATTGAACATTGAATCTGCTTCAGCCCATCAAAATATAGTATTCAAAATAATATGCTGAACAATGAATCGATGGTTTAAATTTAAAACCCCGTACCTTAATTGCAACGTTTCTACGAATACTCTGTTTCTTAGAAGACAAAAATAGAATATCATGGCTTAAAATTTTTTAAAAATGACTATGGACTGGTATGGAAAAGCTAGAAAACATGCAAGTCTTAGTGATGATTTTTCTTATTTCTAAAAACTAAAAGGGGAAATTATGTAACCTTTCTATTGCAATACATGGTTTTGCGTTTGGCCATTGATATGACAGTTTCAGCCATTTCATAGGGCACCACTGGGTGCAAGGATCTCACTTTATCCACAAAAAAAGTTTTTTACAATTTTATAGAATGTTCCCATTCAATTATAGAACATACTTATGAATGTGTTTGTTCCTGTGTTAATTTATTTCAATTTTTTATATTCAGATAAGAGAATTTGAAAGTATACAAGTAACCGGGATGGAGCAAATCAGTGCAGAAGTAAAGAGTGAAGGATAAGCTGAGGACTTAATGTGTTGGCTCAATCAAGCAGTGTATGGAATGAATTCCAATCCCAGCATTGAGTAGAAGAGATTTTACAAGCCGCAGTGCAAAGAACATCGATTTACAAGTGAAGTTTCGAAAGGTGTGTAAAATAAGGCACATTCTTGACTATTTTCAAAACCTCCTTTCAGATAATTGTAAACTTTTCCCTGTGGGATTTTTTCGACACAGCTAAATTGCTAAAAACCTAACTCGAGGTTGAAAAGATGGGTCTGTTGCAAAGTCACTAATTATTATTATACTAATTTTTATGTTACCATTTAAAGGAATAAGGACTATAGTGCCCGTAAAATGGAACTTGAGATATTATTATCATAGGTAAGAGGAGTATTTTCAAAAAAGTATGGAGTAAAAAATAGAGTAAAGAGTTACATATTATCATTGGTAAGAGGAGTATTTTAAAAGAAGTATGCAGTAAAAAGTATGTTTGAGTAGTCATGTTTTGATTTAGAAGAATCAAATTCCAATGGACAGTAGCAATGATCATGGTGATGGACAAAGGGACAATGGAGCAGCAGCTGACCAACTTTTTTTCATTGGCTTGTACAAAGAGCTAAATTGTTCCGCCAAAAAAGTCTCGGAGAATTCAAATTTGAAGAACTTTTGAACGTGCACAGATTGCGATATTGATTCTTATCAACATTGGCAACATATAAAGGTAGTTGCAAGGAGGCAAAGAGAAAACAACAGTATGATGGATAAATTTAAAAGCATGCATCTGATCAGTCATTGCATTCTCTTTTAGAAGAACTCTTCCCGTGCTTCAACCCTTGAAAACAAAATTTTGTACACATTTGTGAGATAGTTATTTACACCCATTTTTAAAAAAATATCATGTTATAAATAGACTGATAAAATTTGAGAAAATTACCTTGTTCTAAAGCCTGCTGTGATCTAGTAAGCGTGAAATTATGGACAGTCGCAACAGGATACAAGTGTGAATCGCTTTCTTTCAGGACTTCAATTTCTACTGGTGAAATTTTTTCATGCCTACGCAAAAACCAAATGAGAACCAGGTTTAGATAAACACTACAAATGGATCTGCACAATACAAACTCATTGAAGCAGGAACATGATTTTAACCAAAATTGTTTCCAATAGGCATAAATTTAACACGAGAAATCAATGTACGAGGGTCGTCCAGAAAGTAAGTTAACCTATTCCATATCTCCTGAACTAGGATAGATAGAGAAATTTTGTAACGTTGAAAAGCCACTACTCACAGCTTTCTAACGCGCTATAGATTTTTAAGTTTGGTTTGATAGAATTTTATAAAATTCGGTTTTCCTAGACCCACCTCCTCTCCGCACGGGTCCAAAATTTCAAGTAGCGTCATCCGCAAGTAAGCTGCTATGTTTATCACTCATGGCAAAAAAAATGACTTAGAAGTGGTTCAGGAGATATTGAGTAGGTAAACTTACTTACTGGACGACCCTCCTATAAGCACCTCCTTAAGTTGTGGACACTAACTATGTCATTTTGTGAACTAAATGAAGAAAGTGAACAAGACATTGGTTTCCTGCATCTAAAAAAGTATGGATAGTGACAAGATGCAAGAGAGTCCTATATCCAAACTACGAAGATGTTGTTCGGGGTAGAGCAAAACAGTTTTTTTATACAAAAATATTGAGCCCCTACTACATAATTTTTGTAGGTGAGCTCCAAAAGTTTAAAAAAAAAAAAATGAAAAAGAGGGTTACTTGCTGTGAAAGCAAAATTACACGCATCAAAACTGAGTTCTTCTGTGGCGCATCAATATTGAGTGCTGCAAATTGGCCACGAGGTTCGAGGTTCAATTCCTGAGGAAATTGCTTTTTTCTCAGTTTTTGTGATTACTCTCAATACTCTTATCTTCCTTTGAATGGTGTGTGTAACCATTTTCTTTTTACAGAGGTTCATGTGATAAACAATAATTATTTGTTATTATGATAAATATTGATAAGATGATATTCTTTCATTTAAAAATAAATTTAAAAAAAAGAGCCAGGAACTCATCAGGCAGCATTTATTTACTTTAAAGGGGGAAGGGGACACTGAGAGTCAAAGAGTGTTTCCATCGGGTATTAATTGATGACCCCTGTTAGATTTAACTTATTATTCAAAATAATAAGAATCCTAGGGTAACTTGCCCTGTTATTTACAAATTTTTAGTCAAAGCAGACTGTGAAAGTCTTAAAGTTTGGGTGTTATTAGCTGAAAGCTGAACGAAGTACATTGACAAAAAAAATAGCCTTGCGGCTCTAAAAATTTCTCCATCATCTGCCTTACCAAATTCATTATATGAGAGGCATTTTCAATTTCATTGATTCTAAAAATATTGACTCCTATCTACAAGAGATGCAATCAAAGTAGTTGAAAAAATTAACTTTGCAAAATACATTTTTAAGAATTGAATTCTTACTTGTTGATCAAATAAAAAAATTACTGTGAATTGAGAAGCATCTGAATTACAACCTCACCTCTGAGAATTTTTTTTAAGCTTGGAAGTTCATTTCAGAGAAAACCACTGGACCATCAGGTTTCTTAAAAAATTGCATAGAAGAACAAGTACTCAAAACACAAATGCTTGACACATGCAAGAGATCCATTCTTAATTACTGCTTATTTGCTTATTTTGCAAGTATGAGCTTGACACATGCAAGAGATCCATTCTTAATTACTGCTTATTTGCTTATTTTGCAAGTATGAATAGATGCTGTTTTGGAGCTGTGGGAGACAATATGAGAATGAAAGGTACATACATAGGAGAGTAGACAGAGATATTGTATTTTCCAGGAAGTAACAATCTCCAGTATTCTCCATCACGAGTTGTGGTGATGTTGTGATTAATGCCTTCCACAATTATGGTAGCACCAGCTACTCCCTTGCCAGTTTCATCTGTCACAATACCTGTAAAAAGAAAAACATTAATACGATTTCCTCCCAAATTATTATTCTTTTTAGCATGTTGGCGACAGTGTCTGGTGCTGGTGCTTGAAAGCATATTCCACTTTGGGATGGTGTCGACCTCCAGTACTAAAGACTGACAGGTGGATATCAAATCGTGGATTGATTTATCTAGTTGTCTATGAGTTGTAATGTGGTGGTTCAAGAAAAAGTCTTAAGACAAGAAAAGTCAGAAAAGTCTTTCATTTCTACTTCAACCTGTCATGTGATTTCTGACTCCTGTTAAAAATGAGTGAGAACTTCACTTGCGGATACTATCAGGTGCTGGTGCTTGACCAAGTGACCACCTCAAGGTCACTTTGGCCACCAAAAGCACTTTTGTCGCCAACATGTTAGGGGCTTACATGTGAGTTAACACTGCTCTTACAGCCTTTAAGTGCTGGTACATCTGTTGACTCACCATTCTGCTTTGGAAGAATAATGATGAGGAAAATAAAGGTAATAAAAGAAGAAGGCTGAGCAAAAATAAAAATGCAGGAAAGATTACTAAAACTTTGAATTGTGAGAGATAATCTCAGAAGTGGCCACCCTTAATTTGTTTGCAGCTTATAGCAATGAACACTTCAAGCTCAGCATATTGACTGGCGCTTTCCAGTTTTTACTTTCTTGCTCCCTCTGTGTGTAGAAAGAGTATTGTCTTTCTAAAAAAAAATTGAGACCTCTTCATTTCTGGGTATTTCAGGGTGCCTCGAGTCAAAATCCATCGGTACTTGAAAAATGTAAGTCTGTCCGTAATGTATGTGTAGGAACATCAGTATCTCAAATTGTAATTATTAGCGTTCATTCGAGGTGGGCATTAAGGATCATCTTCATGGTCCCTTATGCATGCCAAATGCATTTCACGTGCGCCAAAATTTGAGGGGTCTTAAGGGCAAAAACCTGAAATTAGACTTGATCAGAAAAAAAAAACATTATCAGAGAAGTTTGCCCCAATGTTTATCCTCTGATCCAAAATTATAATTATTTCTGTAGTACTCTTAAACCATCCTTACTATACAAAACAATTTCGTAGTAAACGCTTGTGTGATGCAAAGAAAAACTATGATCTGCTAGTCTTATACGTCTACAATGTATTGAGCACAAACATTACAGAGTGAGAGTAGAAGATAACAAAAGTGTGTAAACTACCTTTAACTCCCATGTGAGTGTTTTCAATATAAGAAAGTAAAGCTCCTTTGTTTTTACGCCATTCGTTAGGTAACTCAGATGCTGGTGGATGTTTGCAACAACTCAGTTCAAAAGTCACCTCAAAACAATTTGAGTGCAGGTAATTAAAGTCTTGCATACCACCTATAAAACAGAATCAGCAAGTTCTCAGTGAGAAATCAATGACAGCAACACTAACACAGGACAAAATGTGAGTAATTCCATTACCACAGGGCAAAAATAAGTCTGAGAATACAATATCAGATCCTTCCCTGAAGGTGTCGCATTTTTTTTCAGTAGTTACTGAAACAGTTCCGTTGTATAGGAGTAACAATAAGAACACCCTTATCATGGACAACAGCTACCAGAGTTTGAAAATTTGGCAAACATATACTACGACCATGTATACATTTTCACAAACTAAACAACCATAGAGACCAACGTACAAAGCAACAGTGCTTTTCCTTGGAACTCATGTAGTTCCAACAACGGTAGCCTTAACAGTGTTTGTTGGTAATTCAGAAGAGAGTGTACACCCCAATCTCAAATAGGGAAGAAAATATTTAATTATTCGAGTAACCAATTTTATTTTAAAGGCGTACTGAGTACCTAGTTTACCTGAATGATGTTTAAAACAACGTAAAAATTCAACAATCGAGCAAACATTGGTCAGCTGGAGCTGATCTTCCGGGGATGGCAAAGTCATTCCAGGATGAATCAAAGCTTTAAAATAATATTTCATTTACCTTTAACATCATACCAGACTGCTCCATTTGTGATACCTCCATCAAAGTGTTCATCGTAAATCTTGCACCCATTTTTCAAGTTAGAATGGCGATTTGCATATTTACTGGCAATCTGCTTGAAAAGTGCATTATCTGGAGATATATTCGAGTTGTCTTTGGTAGTTTTATTTCTAAAACAGAAAGCAGGAAACCGAATAAAGAAAAGAAAATCATTTCAACAAAATTTTTCTTATGTTTCTTTTCCTCCTTTATCGGATTGTATCAGATAATACCCACTTTTTTTCTCTTTTTTTTCTTTCTTTTTTACTAATAATCGGGCGAATAAGAAAGAAGTGAGTATTATTAAAATTTTTCTTTGGAGCATTATCGTTTTGTTTTACCCTGAAAAAATCTGTGAATGTTTTTGAAAATATGAATACTTTCAGCTATGCCTTGTAAAGTTCTAAATTTTGAAAACATGGATTGGGTATAATTTTCAGAAGATGCTTATAAATAAAACATACTCTAATTGCTATCAATTGGTGGGTACTTGCATAAAGATAATAGGATAATCTGCTAGCAATGCGTTCTGGAAAAATTACAAACAAATGTCATTTTGTTCCAATATTTTTATGCACTTGCTTGCAAAATGTAATAATAATAATGGAAAATGTGCCAATAAAAGTAAAATTTAGAAAATCTTTCAAAAATTATGAAAAATCTTTACCAAAATTGTGACAAAATCCTTGCTGCTTGAAACAGAGAGGACAAAAATTAGAGGCCTACTAATGATAAGAGATTGAGCTTACAAATAAAGACAACTACGATTTTTTACTTAGAAAATGACAGTAACAAAAGCTAGGTACATTTATATATAAAAAGTAAATATTTTTGGCTTTCCGTCATAAATTTTTAATTCCATCACTGTTTAATTTGTTATTGCGTCTTTTGTTATATGCTATACTAGCAATTAACTTATGCTTCGCAGGAGACGCAATAACGTGCGCTGATAATAGCACACTTTAATCCAACAGCGATACAATTAGAGGGCACTTCGTATTAATTTTGTCACTGTCTGTCTGAATAAAGATGAGAACAAAAATCCTCTTGAGCTCAGGGCAATCTATTCAATCATGATGTATTTTTCATGGGAATTTCAGTTAGTCCTATTTACAAATTTCATGCTAGTTTTCAAACTAAATTTTCTTTAAAACAGTAGATATCAGTGCTGGATATTTTATTAAAAAGTATCACTTTTAATAATCTAATAGCAATATCATCCAAGAACTTGGATGCTGAGGCAGGGCTGTAAAATAAACTTGATTTGCCTGCGGCTTGATTTGTTACTCACTGACTCATCCATTTATCGACTTACTTGGTATCGTCGTACGGGTAGCTGACCACAAGTGCTCCCCCATGAAGATTTCCAGAGAGAACAAAAGGGTTGTTGACAATCCATGCCATCATAGCTTGTGTCTCTGGTTGCCGTTTTGAAATAGGCTGGTGCTCATATTCGGCATCAAACTGATCGGGAAAGTCACGGTTGAGGTCCACATTATTGGCATTCCTACGACTGGTTTCCTTGTATTCATGCTCAACACCACAAGTTCCTTCCTGCAAGAGATAATGATATTATCAGTGGTGTGTAGTTAGGAAAGGCAAGGCAATCATTGATTATGTTCCGATTTCTGGCAGAAAGAGGAAAATTATGCGCTTGAAATTGATTGCATTTTTGCAGAATGGAGATCAAAAGAAAATGTACGTAGAAAGTAAATCATGACAATATCAGACAAAATGAAACGATGATGCACACAGGATTACAGCAAAAATGATGAGAGCTGAGCAGATGAAGGTCACAAAGCTGCGCTGTGCAGTTCAAACACAGACCAACGGCGCCAACGCATGCATTGGTACAACTGTTGCTCTGGGCTGAGTATTTAAAGGCAGTTTATAGAACAAGAATTATGACAGGAGAGACACAAGATACGCAAATAATTTGGCGACAAATAGTCACTAGCTTCCAGTACAATTACTGCTGAAGGGTTGTGTAGATACAGCACAAACTCAGCCCATTCCTAAAGCCTGCCTATCGCTGAATTAATTGCTGCCATTTTGACACAACAAAAAGCTTCGAATGACATTTTCTGAGAATTTACAGAACTCACACTCCCAAGAAAACTCACAAAACTGCAATGAGACATTTTGATTGGTTTTCCTAGTAGAAAATAAAATGTGAGCGGTAATTTTTAAAAATAGCAGCTGAGATACGCATTTTCAGCAGTTAGCCAGGAAGCAATAAGAGATGACTCATTACATGTAGTACTCACAAAAATACTTACTTACAAAGTTTGTTCGATTTCTTGGCAGTTATTTAAAATCTGCACAGCTGTTGAATGCTGGATGAAATGGTAAAATAGATGGTTACAAAATGTTATTACCGTCCCTGACAGGTGGCAAGATGACAGGAGACTCTCAACTACATTAAGCTGAGGAGGTAAAGTTTATTAAGTTTCATGAGCTAAATGCTTTAGAATTACCTACTTATGCTTATACGTAGTACGTACGTCTGGTTTCTCTATCAGTAATCTTGAGGCTTATGTTGTCAGCCTGCGGCCACATAAAAAGTGAAAAGGAATAAGAAGAGTAAGTACTTACGATTGATTCAGAGTATCCATCTGGATTCATTGAAGGCATCAAGAAAATATCAGTGTTATTCACGAGTCTCGTGACTTGGAGATTAGTGCCATAATTGTTCACCAAATACTGCGCCAAGTACACCATCAGCTGATAACCGACCGTTTCGTCTCCATGCATGTTGGCGACGTATTTGAACATAGGTTTCCCCAACTCACGTTTGGCGACATTTTTGCTGATTTCGATTACGATCAGGTCCCGGCCCCGGACGGATTTTCCAATGCTGTGCACTCTAGCAAATGTTGGGTGATCAGCTGCCAGCTGGTGAAAAAGACTCACTGTTTCATTGAAAGGATAATACCTGGGTTCATTCAGGAATGACTCGTCTGATGTAGCCACGGATACACTAGAAATTTCGGGGAGATAAATGCACAAAAGTAAAGTTAACAGGTAATAAGGATTTATTTTTATCCCCATTGTCCTGGAGGAAGACAGTCGATTAACAAACCTAACCTAATATCAACAAAAATCTGATGAAAAAAAGTATATCAACAGGCTGTGTGCCATGTTGCCGAATAGTGCAAAAAATTCAAATATTCAAAAGCAATGTCTCAACAAGATTCTCTGGATCCAAGCATAAGGCAGACTTTTTTAAGAGTTTATTTACATCAAGAGGGGGAAAATCCTTATTTTTTCACATAAAAAAGTCTTTACTCGACACAAGGTTAAGTATTCTCCGTGGCCCGCAGCGCAGCCACGACAGAAAATTCTACCACGAGGGAACTTTCAAACTTTCTCTATCATTGTTCGTAACTACTACACCTGCTAGGTACTCTATCGAAGGGAAAGAGCAAAACATAATATAATTTTCACTAATATGTTTACCAGACTTTACTTGGCTAGAGTTAAGTTCCGCTGTTGCACTTGGGTTAGGTTTCGCAGCTTCCATCAAATCGCAATTGCCCGGAAACTAGGACCGCACATCTTATCTGATAAAATCGTTCACCCTTTGGACCGATTCTGGGGGATTAGGCTAGACTACTTAGTCGATGAGACAACTGTTGGTCTTATTCTCTTATTTCATTACGTGAACGCAGAAGAAAAACGGGGTAAAAAAACACTGATGTGTGATCAATTTTCAAGGACAATTCTGTAATTTCTCCTACGATTTTAAATCTATTAAAACGCGTGATGTCCAAATTCTAAGCTCAGATTCAGATTCCTCGTGAATAACTGATGCGATTTCATGCATCATATGTTGGAATAGCGTGAAGGGAAGAGGTTTAATGACGTATAAAAACACTAATGTGTGATCAATTTTTAAGGACAATTATGTAATTTTTCCTACAATTTTTAATAGATTAAAACGCGTAATACCCAAAATCTAAGCTCAGATTCGGATTCCTCGTGAAAAATTGATGAGATTTCATGTATCATATGTTAGAATAGCGTGAAGGAAAAAGATTTAACGACGCCTATAGATTCTGTCGTACTTCCTCTTTGAACTACGCCGCCGCCTGTCGCCCGAGTGAAACCGAACGGGGAGGCGCCACTTAGCGCCGGCTAAGCGTTCAGTTTCGTCGCGAGGAATTTCTCACGATAAATTCTTATTCTTCCTCCTCCGCTGACCCACTGAGCACTACCCATGTTGCCACGTTGCATTCATATGCTCGAATCAGTATGCCTACGTTGCGTCTCTTTCCTCCACGCTATGCTCGGGTATAATACATGAAATTGCATCGATTTTTGACGAGGAATCCGAATCACGCGTTTTAAGTCACATTTTCCAACTTCAAAAATCCGAAATGGCGGACGTGGCTAAAAATGCCATCTCGGCTCCTGTTCGATGGATTTTTGTGAAACTCGGTGTCAGGGTATGATACTTACATGAAATCGAATCGATTTTTTACGAGGAATCCGAATCTGAGCTTCGATTTTGAGTAATACGCGTTTTAAATCAAAATCTGTCAAAATTCAAAAAATTCAAAATTCGAAAATCCGAAACGACTGAAGTGGCTTAAAATGCTATCTCGGCTCCTGTTCGATGGATTTTTCTGAAATTCGGTGTCAGGTGGTGTTTTTCGACGGGAAACTCGAATTTTTAGTCCATTTTTTAAAATTCTCAAATCGAAGATGGCGGACGTGGGCCAAAATGCTATCTCGGTTTCTGTTTGTTCGAATCATGTGAAACGCGGTATTACATGGTGTTTTTCAACGGGAAACTCGAATTTTTAGTCAATTTTTTAAAATTCTCAACTCCAAGTTGTTGGGTGTGGCCTAAAATTCTATCTCGGTTTCTGTTCGTTATAGAGCTTTGTGAACCGCGGGAGCAGGGGTACTTTTCGACGGGAAACTCGAATTTTTAGTCAAGTTTTAAAAAATCTCAAATCCAAGATGGCGGACGTAGCCTAAAATGCTATGTCGGCTCCTGTTCGATGAATTTTTCTGAAAATCGGTGCCCGAGGGTATTTTTCGACGGGAAACTCGAATTTTTGTCAATTTTTGAAAGTTCTCAATTCCAAAATTGCGAACGTGGCCTAATATGCTATCTTGGGTACTGTTCGTTCGAGTTCGGTGAAACTCGGTATCAGTGGTATTTTTCGACGGAAAACTCAAATTTCTGGTCAAATTTCCAAAATTCGTAAACCCAAGATGGCGGCCGTGGCCTAAACCTAAAATGTTATCTCGGCTCCTGTCGGTTTCTGTGAAACTTAGTAATAGGGGAAATCATTCCAGTCAAATCTTCAAAATTTGAAAATCGTGATGGCTAAAAACCAGAGCATTGTATGGCGGGTTATGAAATACTATTTTTCGCAGGAACAAAGTAACCCCGCTTCTTCAAAAATAGCAACTTCACACTCATAAGTATACCTAGTGAAGAAATTTTAAGCCAGAATATTTTTTAACTGACAGTAGGTATTCCATGTGAACAAAAAAAAAAAAAAACAATATTCGACGTATACTTTTTTTTAAATATATATAGAAAAAAACTTATTTTAAACATAAATAGGTCTTTAAATTCTTTAATGCCTGAAGTAAACTATCAAATCAGTTCTGACGTGAGTAAAATTTTACCTTTGATGAAAGAGAAGGAAAATAGAAGGAGATAAAAACATATTAAAAATTCAGCTTATTGCACAAAAAATATACATCTGAAATTAGATGGGGACAATGTTTTGGCAAAGGATATGCTATCCCAGGGGCCGACGCAAGACTGTCTGAGCCTCGAGCAAAATCTCAATCAACAAAATTATTTTACTTTTGCCGGCAGATCAGTAATACAAATGGAAACTTTTGTGATTCTGGGAGGCCCTACCGCCCCCCCCCCCCAGGCCCCGGGGCTGGAGTTCCGGCAACCCCCCCTATGTGGGGGGCTTGCTTAGGTATGCGCTTGTATTTAGGCTTGTGATGTTATAGATTTCCTACCTGCTATCGTATTTCATTTGTTTGAAAGACAAATGGTCATAGTTTTTGTTCTAGATTCCGCGCAATTTATCAAGATTATTCCAAGAAAATGTCGCGATTCAAGGCCGGGTTTTAATTTTCAGTTTTTTTTTTTTTTTTTTTTTTTTTTTTTTTTAAATTGAAAATATCGCGATAAAACTCAGTACCTACTTCATCAGCACAATTCGTAACGCTGGAATTAAGTTCAGGTGAACCTAAGAGAAATAATTATAGCTTCAGTTATTGTCGCATCGTGTTTACCTATACCTATACCTCCGAATAATTTCATAAATAGGCTTACCTAGATGCTGCGCCTTCAATTTCAGAAGATGCGAGTGAACTTACGATCTCGCTCGAGTAGGTACCTGGAGGAGTTCTGAGAGCCTTTAAGTTGCCTTCAAATCACGAGGATGCGACTGATCATACACTTATAGGAGATCGGTACATACCACATTAACTTATCCTGTCACAATAAGGATAAAATAAAAACAAAAATAATGAGTAAGCAATGACCAATGTTTTTATCCTTGGTCACCCATTTTTTTTAGTTTTTTGTCCTCGTCACATTTCGGGCTGGTTAATTGTCATTGTTCCTTCTATATTGCAACGGATCGTCTTCATAAACTCTTTCTTTAACCAAAATTGGACGGATTTAAATAAAAAAGAACTACTTCATTGTGACATCAGTCACATCAGTCATCGTGTAGTGTAATTTTTTGGGTGACGTCATTCCAAATTCCAGGATCCGTGGTCACACCATCAATATTTTCCTCATTATCTCAAAGCCATGCAGTCATTATACCAAATATGACGCGGGCCATCAAAAATTGACGGAAATGGTGTGATGTGACGTCATTATCGGTTTTATCAACCGCGTGACCCTGAGATATGGACCAAAATATTGATGAGTGACCCCGGCTTATGTTGGTCAGCATAGTTAAGGGATATGGAATCGGACCGCCTCCACCGCAGCAATAGCATGTGCCACACTATCAAAGCTAGCCATCAAAATATCAAGGTCAGGTGTCGTTGTGATTGGTTTATTTGATGACTTGGACCAATCTTAACACTTGACCTTGATATTTTGATAGCTAGGTTTGATAGCGTGACAAAGGCTAATGCATTGTGGGGGAACACTTGTGAGGCTGTTGTACACTGTCAATCACGGACAAACTGAAGTATCATCGATGACTCGAAATCACACCAATGGCCAATCCAGTAGGCTTCAAATCTCATAGATGACATCTGAGCTGGTTCGTATTGTAAACATATGGTAATAAAATCTAGAGTCCCACATTAATTTTAAGACGGACGATTGGATTACATTTTGCGATTCGGAACTATAATTTCTGACTCATCCGTAAAAACTCGTATGTGCGTAGGGAAACTCATGGTACTTACGTTGTTTTTAAATTGAGCCAGAAATTGTAGTTCCTAATGGCAAAATGCAGTTCAATTGCTTTTCCTTGCCCGGAAAGTTCGGTGGCCGTGAGTGGACGCTCACTTAGACTCGGAGCAAATATTTCAACTCCCCGCAAATCAAATTGCATACTCAATGAGATGAAGGAGCTTAGAATAATGCGATGATCTGCAGCGGAAACGGAGTAGCTGAAGTGAGGGTGCCTCGCGGCTTGTCCCTTTGACCGGGGTGCGAAGTCCGCTACTACCTCAGTACATTATTTTAGCATCCTGATGTCGGGATTGCATATATACCCGACAAAATGAAGGATTTTTTAGAGATTGTAGTGATCTGCCGCCAACCTTGGAAAAGTATAGGTATTTCTTTGCTGCAGAATTTGTGATGAAGTGGTTAGTTTTATTGCGAAAATAGGTGAATACTAGGGGGCTACGCCCCCTGGCCGCTACGCGGCCCAACCCCCTGAAAGCGCTCCGCGCCATCAATGGGCCGCTTCGCGGCCCTATTTTTACCCTCCTATCGGTGTTAGTTTTATTTTTTCCCCTAAAAAATTACGATATAAGGTATACTTTACTTTTAGAATGAAATAATTTTTGGTTTTGATGAATAAAGAAACAAAATTATTTTTTTGAAGTCTAAAGGACGCGTTTTGGAATGACTACTTGATGAAATATTGCAGTAAAACAACGAACATTGATAATCAGGTAATAATTAAGAGTTTCAGGAGACGGGATCGAACCCACACCATGTTTAAGGGGGACGCTTTCGACGTCTTTGACGACTCGGCCACCGCTCTACCTGAGGCAGACGGGGCGAATCTTGTGTAGATAAGTGTAGAGCTGATGCGCAGGCTACACAGCTACTGCGCAACCTCCTCGACCACTGCGCATCCTCCCGCGCATAGCGGTAGCAGTCTCGGAGCATTCTGAAAATTTACTCACTTTTATAACGTGATTGTAAAAAAACCTGGGTCCTGTTTCCAAAATCTGAATAGAGCGGGCTCATCCAGGGCCAATTACCCGTCGATTACCGCAAAAAACTTAGAAATCGGCCCGGTAGAACGCTCAAACGAACTATGACAAAAAATATAAATTTACATTGTTTAAATGGGAGAATTCGCAACTTTACCACTTAATATAAAAAAACCTGGGCCATATTTTGGAAATCTGAAAAGAGTTGGCTTATCTAGAGACAATTGCCCGTCGATAGCCGCAAAAATCATGAAAATCGGCCCGGTAGAACGCTGGAACTAAGCGTTACCAGTTTCGCAAAATTAGGAGGTCTTGGAGCTTATAGTATAGATGGTGCTTTTAAGTAAACAAAACGAATAGTGGCTTCTAACAATCGCTAAAGCCCCTCTTAGGTGGATTCAAATAAATAATCATAAACTTTCTGATAAATAATGTAATTATCTCAAGCCCCCCCCCCAAAAAAAAAACAACTAATTTTAGGTTCTCATGACGTTATAGCGATCAAAGAAAGCCACGAATTCCATGAAGAGAGGGTTTGTAAAGATACACCTTGAGTTTTGTTCGTGACATGGTTGGAGTGGCGTTTTCTAAAGACACCAGGAACATTTGTTTACCTACGGCCGTAAAGAGCTGAATGACTGTCTGTCTACCATTCATGGACCGATGAAAAAGTGGTACATCTTTCCAATACTAAAAACATATGAAAGGCCAAACTCTCCCTTTACAGGCACTTATGTCAAATCGAGTGCCGAGTGTAGAATGCTAAGTCGAAAAGTCCCTATCCGCAAGCCTAATTTTCCAGCGAATGCTTTACTTTTTTAGAAGCTACAAAGATTCTGGTTAAAGTATTTGTAGATCTAGGAGCACGCAACTATTCGCAAACGTTATCTCTCATGGATGGGTGAACAGGTATCGGTACAATCATTTAATGCACTAACGTTTTTTCGAACGTGCATTTGTTTGGAGACTTTAACGCGGAAACAGGAAAGTAGATACATGCGTAAAAACATCAATGATAGTCTTTACCAGACAAAAATGATGGCAACTGATATTGGAATTTTCTGCTATTTGGAAAATGTTGGAAAATAGGCTTACCTAGACAATTTTGCAAAAATTGCCGAAGTTAGGTTAGATTGCCAGAGTTCATTTTTATCTGAATGGGATACCAAGAATATATCTCACTGGAAATTTTGCTACATTTGTGATGAGAAAACTCTACTTTCTCTCCCTGAAAATTAGCTAACTTTGACGTTTTCCGGACGATTGAACGTATGTAACAGCATTCCAACTTGAAAAATTTCCACTCGTAAATTATATTTTTACATAAAGGATTGCAAAATCTCTAAAATCCTGTAATCCTAGGATTGCAAGCTCGCGGTGTGCATTGTTTGGAAATAGTGTACAACGGGGTAGGTTCGACACCAAAAAATACGACTTTCCAGCGACTTGAGGGCGCGCCGTGGTATACGCGCGATGCATGAAGTATCCTGCAGACTTGTAAGGCGCTATATCATGCGTGGCGCGCACCGTGCTGAACGCGCAATGCATGAAGTATCTTGCGGTCTTGTAAAGCGCTACATTGCGCATCGTGCTCGCCAGCCGCCAGCAGCGCCGCGCCGCGCCGGCAGCACTGTGTTTGACGCGATTATTCAAACTTGCGGCGTTAGCAGTTTTCAACTTGTGATTTTGAATTTTTTGTACAGTTTGTTGGAATTATTGTTTTTTACAAAATTTCGAGGCATATTGCTTTCTTAAAAATGTTAACACTTAATTAAAAACTCTCGCTTTCACTAGAGTCCCTTTATACTGAGAGTAAGAACAATCTGAATCCATTTCTGATTGGTTCCCACATTTTAGGCCTTCACAGTGTCACTAAACGGGAATAAATATTACATTTGCACCGAGTACAAAGATTATAAACTGGAATGGATTGGAGAATTGGGGGCACGGCAAGAAGCAAATGGAATGAGAGAGGGAACGGAGGTAGGAATTTGATCAAAGATTATAAAATTGTGTAATCTTTATTCCTGTTTATGACATCCATAAGCCGCGTTGTCTCAAGTCTCTATTAAGGGACTCTAGCTTTCACTACGATTTATCTACTTTGGACGAGTTTAGGTGGCTACCCAAGCCACCATCATCAGCTGACTGATGACAAAAAGAATATTGCTTTCTGATGACAAAATATATCACGCATGTTGTTAGTAAAGCCAATATATTGTAAAAAAAACGATGTGCCGCCGATGTCTAAAGATTTATTTGATCAGTATCTACATTCATTGAGAGTTCTATCAACACGACGGTTTTTCAACGTGATGTCCGAGGGGGACAATGAACAGTATCAGCATTAACGAAATTAGCAGTGGAAGTGATACACGTGTCCCTCGGCTAGCCGAAATGGCATCTGAGGAGGTCAAAACCAACCCCGCTTTCGGACGGAGGGTAGAGCATTGTGACGAGTCATCGTGGAGAATCGTAACTGCGTCCCTGAAACGAAAAGTAAATTGCATTAAACTGCCGTGCTGTGGAAGAACGTCGTAAGAGCCTGCAGTTGTTGCCATATTTCCTTCCATAAAAAAAAATTTACTGGGGAAAATGTTTATTGTTTTTTTGTTTAAAACTTTTCAAACAATTTTGTTCTCAATTTGATCCAAAATATCTGAAAATTTCAAGGGAAAATAAGCATAACCCTTCCTGAAAATACATGTTTTATCCGGAGACATTTGGCAACTCTTGTATGTTCATCCGGCGTTTTCCCATAGCACGGCAGTAAGCTTACAACGTGACGTCGAAAAAGTTAAGGCACATTTCCTATCAGTTATGGAGGAGTCCTCTTTACTGAGAGAAAACTCAACACGAAAGTTTGGTTAATACGGGAAGTTCTCCTCCGGATACGAGTTACATGCGAATCCAACGTAAAGCACGATTGTAACGCCCATATAAAACTACACAAAAGTTACGTTTAATTCTTGAAAAAAGCAATTAAAATGTGAGGGTCTCTTCTTTGTGGGAATATTGAAACATTTCTTGTTCTCTAATCAACGCTTATGCAAATTATTACCCAGATTTGTAACCAGAATTTGCACTGGCTGTGTGGACCTTCATAATTCCCTGCAAAAAGTGTTTGCACTCGTTCAGGCACATGGGTTCCATCTCAGTTCCAAGATTTAGGATTACTACAACTGGTGGTTCATCCTTAAGCTCCCTTTAAAAATAAAAAAAAGAATAAAGTTTTTGAAAAATGAATGTATTTTTTGGCATATAAACCAAGCACATTAACATACTTTCATAAAATTTCAATCTCTAGGCACTGGGCAGATTAACGCGATGAATCTGATGATAAGAGCGCTTGGTTGCAAATATTCCAGTACAAGACATATTACTCGTACGCATGCGCACAAAAATGTAGGATCGCTGGAGTTGTGTCTCACATGCAACAAGCTACGTCTGTAGTTCGCGTCACGTCTATTTGGACGTATTTCTGCCAAACAGAACTATGTGCATTATGACGTGAGTCCTGTTATGCATATATTCTTATGGTTCTCTGAGCTCATGTCTTAATGCACATAGTTCCGTTTGGCAGAAATACGTCCATCTCGTTTCATATATTGCGGTGGTCACTTACGCATATGGCATGAGTGCATTCAGTCCGTGTGAATGCACACAAAACGATCGAAAATCGATTACTTGTCACAATTATTTCGTTAAAAAATTATGTTTAAAAAAAAACATATTATTTTTTTAGGGACTTTGGGGGGTTTTTCATTGCTAATAAAAGAAAACTCCAAATTTCCTCACTGAGAAACTATGATTAAAGTCACCAAATTTGGTAATGTCCCGTACGAACTCTCAATTATCAAGAGTCATGCCCCACTCAGTGATACTTCAACCACTCCACTCAGTGATACTTTTTAGAAATTGTCAGTAAAATTATCTCTTAATGGTAGAAATACCACTTCTATTTCCCGTGATGACTCCGACCAATCAAGGGTTTAAATGGAACACTGCTAATTTGGTTACTTTCATCTAGAGTACCTATATTGAGAGAGTAGGGCCACTGGGCTCCATGGAGAGACTTAGGACCCAAAAATGGCGGTGCTTTGTTTTGGTTTTTGTGGATGGGAGGGGGGTCATTGCCAACTTTTGAGGGTTTTCACCAACCGCACTTGCTGCCAACCTTACTATATCTAAGATAATTTTTCTCAAAAATTGCACACGATTAGCCTTAAAAATATGTAAAGAATCGCAATAGTGCATTTGGGTTAATTTCTCATTACGATAAGCAAAGCAAACTACATTTTGAGTCATTTTGCATCACATTAATTTATGGCGTCCGCCATTTTTGGGTCCTAAGGGCTCCATTCAGCCTAAGATGGCTGAGCCAATCAGAGGTGGTAACACCAGTGGCCATACTCTCTCAATAAAGGTACTCTACTTTCATCGAGGTTAGTTCTCTGTGCTCTCTTCCGAATGTTGAGGATTGGTGCACATAAAAATCACCTTTAAGGAGGTCTTATTCTAAAAGGTCCCTTCGTTTCTTTGTCTGTAATACAGATGGAACTTGACCTTGGGGCGTACATCGTCACCTTCCGGCCAAAGTATCACAAGCGCCATGCGACGTTTAAAAATTTTCGCCGCCATTTTATTTTTTTACAGAGAAATTATTCAACGAGGCTGTCCAAAAATGTTACTCAATTTTCTTTGTGCTGCCGATAAAATTCAGTGAAATTTTCAAACAGGTTCAACCAACAATTTCTCTGTAAAGAAATAAAATGTCACTGGATTTTCTTTGTGCTGCCGATAAAATTCAGTGAAATTTTCAAACAGGTTCAACCAACAATTTCTCTTTAAGAAAAATAAAATGGCGGTGGAAATTTTGAAAAGTCGCATTGCGCTTGTGATACTTTGGCCAGAAGGTGACGAATGACAAAGCATTTGTGATCACCCACGGGAAAATGAATCTCAATCCACAAATTACCCCAAGGAACTATAATAAAAAAGCATAGAGGAAGGTTCTATGAAAATTCTTCCTCCGAGTATGAGGGTCCTTCTTCCCACGGATGATCACATATGAACAAACAAATTGAATATCGATGGCTAAAGCTGAAAAATTCGTACCTCAGATTACGACGTTTAACAAGTATTCGATAGTGCTTTATTTTTAAAAAGAAAACTAATTGACAATTTCTATCGATAGTTTCGAAAATGCTCACTACTCGTTCTAAAAAAAAAAGAACGGTCACACAAAATTGTAAGAAAGCATTTGGATTAGGTTTTCATGAAGAGAATAAAATGCAGTCGGAGATTTTTAAACGGCATATGCAACTGAGGTACGCACTTTTCGCTTTCAGCCATCGATATGTATAAAACGCGGAATGAAGACTTTAACGCCAGGTTAGGAAGAAGTGAGCGGAAGGCAATCGCCCGGCTTGGATACAATTATTCGTGCTCGATGGATGTCCGTGTTGCATATAGATTGAGATGAAGGCGTTTTGCCTCCTCATGCCGCACTCTCATGGACTGACCCACCTCTTCTGGTGGAAGTTCACCTTCTTTTAATCAACATTCTAGAACCGTCATATTCTTGTTAAGGATCACATAAAGTATAAGTAGCTACACAAGCTAGCTTACCTTGTAAACATATACACCCACTGAGAAACTTTGCAAGTTTTCAAATCGCCAGATTCGATAGTAGGTGACTTTTTCAATTTCAAAAGTCGTTTGACCATGTTCAATGTGCTGCGAGGCTTAGAGAGCTGTTTCTTTACGTTGTTTCTCCAATAGTCTGGATTCACAGGCAACCATGGCGTTTTACTCGTAGAAAAGCCTACGATGGAAAGAATTTAGAGTTTTAAGATAGACATTTGCGAGACGTGGGTATTTCATATAATTCAGCAGAGATGGTATAGACATTTTCACACGCAAGGGATTTACGCTCTTGTATTGTTGGAGATTTACATACATATGTATGTATGTATGTAGATAGAAATTTGCGAGACGTGGGTATTTCATATTATTCAGCAGAGATGGTATAGAAATTTTTACACACGTAAAGGATTTACGCTCTTGCATATTGGAGATTCTCCTCTGTAAAAAAAACTCGTAGATGTCATTAGCCATCGCGTGTGTGAGGTTTCGTTTCCTCCCTGCTGGCTGATTATTGAAATTCATAGACAAAGCGATAGAAAAGGAGGGCATAGGGTGTATGGAGCAACACCATTGGTTGAAACTGGTGCGGTTCTTACAGACTAAGGGGGAAAATGATGGACTAACTGAAGGGTCTATCGTCAGTTGCCGTTGGTTAGTCTATTACTTCCTGAACCTCCTTTGTCTATTTCAACCGCCCGTTTCCACCAATAGGATGCCTCTAAATACCTTTTATCCTATTTGTCTAAAGCTTTGTCTATCAATTTCAATAATCAGCCGCTGGCTCCATTTTTTATGATCGTGGAGTAACATAGAGATACCATACTCTGAAAAATTGTTGTTCATCACCAACTGATGAGATGAGAGACAAATATTTATCATAGATCATAGTTTGATAGAGATACGTTAATTTATTCGTAAGATAGTAAACCTGCATTCAATGAATCATCCCACTGCATGGGTCCCCTGCACACGTCGCGCGTGAAGTGCGCTTGAGTGGGGTGAAACGTGAAAACGAAATCTTTCTTCTGATCCGGACGAATGTAGATGTCTTTCATGCGGATCTCCTCGCCGTAGTAGATTCCAGCCACCCCAGGCAGCAGCAGCTGAACCATGAGCATGGCCTCCGCGAACTCCGGATCCACCCTGCTCGCCAGTCGAGAATTGTCGTGGTTGCTCGCCTGGAAAATAGGGATTCCTCCAATCAAAGACACGGACCGTCGCACAGTGGATCGAGTCGATTAGAGAAGTCGAACATGACATTTTTTACCTAAACCGCAAATTTTAATGTTTATTTCGTCACATTTTGAATTTCAAGGTGTGCTTGTAGGAGGAAATTCCACGGAGAAACCAATGGAACCACTTTTAGAACTTCTAAGTTGTGTAAACGGAGTTATAAGCGTTTAAAGTTTCCAAATTTTGTCCGACCTCGCTTATTGACTCGATCCACTGTGCGGCTGATAAAAACGAGGTGGAAGAAACTAAGGGTGTCACTACCGCGGTGGATGACGTCATAAATCAAATTCTTAAAAGCATGATATCTCGGTTAAAACTGAACGTATGAGAGCTGCTGTTAAGACAGATCTTACTATTTTTGGCAGAACTGCGAGAATCAAGCATCACAACACGATTCTGAGACCAGTGCGACCGACTTGTCGAGAAGATACAAGTGCAAGAGGCCAAAAGGGTTCTCATTTCAAATATCATCATACAGAATAGTACCTCCGAAGTATTGGTTTTGTAAAATTCCCGATACACTTCGCTGAGGTCGCTCTCATTGGAAACGGTCGGTAAAATCGAAACTAGACTCCAGTTGGTTGAGTGTATAATCAGCTCAAGGTAACGTTACCTATTTTTCTTACTAAAAAGGAAAGAAGCTCGCATAGAGTATGCTTTTCCTCATGGAGTTAGGCTGTTTGGCGGAACGCTAATTACGTTCAATCAGAAAGCAACTGTAGAAGCGATTGCATTTCCGTTCGTTTCGTTTGCGTTTCGTTTCCAAGTCAAATCTGTGCCACTTATGAGAGTGGCACATGTTGCAGCGAATTGCGATTAATATACACGGTCAAATTATTGCTGCTACGCCGGAGTGTTGTGTATGTTGCCTATCTGCCAATTGAAGGGGCTCCTCTTATTGAACATTGTGGCGAAATTGAAATAGATCGCATATTGTCTTTCCATGTCATGTTTACCTTTTCACAAATAGAGCTCATTTCATTGATATTTTGAAATCGCCATTTAATGACGAAATGATGTAAAAGTATTGAAATGTCATGACAAAACAATCAAAACTTTGTTGCATCTAATTACAATTTTATCTCAATACTTCCATTGAAAAAATTTTCCTGGATATCGACGATAAAACTACCAGACCATGTATCTCGGTTTGCGACGCTGCAGATTTCCTGTCATACTTTATTTTTTAAGTGGAAAACTACTCAACGTTAATTCTTGAATACTTCCTGGATTTTTCTTCTCCAAGCAAAGAAAAACTCTGTGAAATCTTCAAGGAATAATATTGATTTGTTCCCCCATATAAAAATAAAATAGGAGCGGCGATTTGTAAACACACCAAACGAGATACGTGGTCTGGTAGTTTCATTGTCGATAAGTCTATTCATTGGGTGTTGCCCTCAAAACTTACGTACCTGACAACAGCTCATTTTTGGAAACTTGAATTTTAAATGGTAAGTATTTGAGAGTCATGAGCCGGTGAGGTAACTCCTATTTTAAAGGAAGACTGCTGGAGATGAGCGATTTTTTACTTTTCACAAAAATTTCAGGTCAGAATTTAGCAGAAGAAGAACATATTTAAGCTATTTGAGTGTTCTTAATTTATGAGGATCAATTATTCAGTGCTATAGGGTCGCGTCACGTAGGTCACGAGCTACCAAGATATTCTCTGTCGCAGAATAATTTGAAAAACTACTCAACTTTATGAGCAAATTATTTTAATTACTTACCACCCAACTTGGAATGCCGTGTGGTGGCATCTTATCGATAAAGGCGTGAATGGCTTTATCTAAAAAGTTCGAGTCGCTCAAATAATTCACATTAACAAATTCAAAGTATAGTGGAAAGTGGGCTATCCTATGAGTTGTATTTCCAAAATATCGCTGCAAGTCCTCTGCTGGTTCGTACGCCTCCACCGTCATCAATCTTCGTATAAACAAAGTATGACAATACACAATTACAAAGGTATTTTGAACAAATCATGGTGAGTTTTTTTCTTCTTTTTTTTCTTTGAAAAATGAAAAAATTAAATAAATAAATCAATGAAAAAATCTAACATGGAATAGTGCTTGCGGAACGAGCCAACATTACTTTATAGAGAGAATGTATAACACTCTCTCCCTCCGAAAATATATTGATAAAATGTAACGGAACCAGGTATAATTTGCTTTTAAGGTGGAAAAGAGTCAGTGGCAGGAGTTGGAATGTTGACATTTTTGGTTTAAGTATTAAAACTACCCAGTGAGTTAAGAATGAAAATATGCCTAATTTTTAAATCATACAAGTATAGGTATTAAGAGCGTTAGATAACAATAAAAAATACGTAGATACGGTGAAATATACGGGGGACGACACAAAATGGTTCATTTTATCAACTTTAAAGCAACTTTTCCCCGTGATCTCTTATCAGAAAAAATAGAGAAAAATCCTTTGACTTCAGCAGATTTATTACTTTTACAGGAAGCAATAAAATTCTCTTGTGTCACCAGCCCACTCAGTTTATTCAATGGAAAAACACAGTCTGGGGGGAAAATAGCCATTTGTAATTTCCTAATAAACACTTCCTTGTGTGCTTAAGAACATCTGGTCCTTTAATAACGTAGGTTATTATGCATCATTACTGATGTTATATGATCATTTGAGTGAATCGTTTCTGAGATGATAACTGCGCTGGAAAACTATAACAGCGGTTTTATTCATGAATTTCCCTTATTCCGCCCTCAATTTTGAATTAATCAATTTCGCGACAAATTGTGAAGTAATATTTTTTTAGAAAAATGAAAAAATAGAGGTTTTTTAAAAAAAAACCGCAATCGAGAGCCAGGTTGTTTTTTTTTTCATTTCCACCCTCAACTTGCTTCCCTTTCAACGAGTTACCGGATATAGACATTAAGTTCTTACCTTTTTCTACCGTCCCTTGAACTGTAATCATCAATAAGCAAGCGCCATTGGTGGAGAAGCTCGAAGTTTTCCGGACGTTGAAAGGTATAGACAGGAATTTGATCGCCAAAATCTGTAGAATTCTCTACACGTGACGAAACATATGGGTTGTTCCGGAGTTCTTCGTCTTCAAATAGGACCGGAACAGCATCCACTCGAAATCCATCAACTCCAAAATCCAACCAAAATCGGATAACATCCTAAATGAACATTTTCGCAAGTCATAAAAAAAGTCAAGTTTTGTACGTCATCCACCGCGGTAGTGGTACCTTTGGTTTCTTCCACCTTGCTTTCATCAGTCGGTGTGACGCACATTTTCAATGGTTGTTCAACGTGAAACTCGGATAAAAGCAAGGTGGAATAATTAAGGGTGTCATTATCGCGGTGGATGACGTCAAAAACCCGACTTTTCAAAGGGCGGTATCTCGGTTAATATAGGACGTAGAGATAAGTTGCTGTTTGGACATGTTTAGCTTACCTACAAGAATCAAGCATCAAAACACGATTCTGTGACCACCGCAACTGACCCATTTAACTAATACTGCCGTGCAACGCAAAAACGCCATTGTACATGTTTTGGAAACAACGTATCATAGCAGAAAAACTTGTATACCTTGGGACAATGTTTTTACAGAGTTCTTTCGCAAATACTATCAAGAACTTAACTAGAAAACTTGAGGCGCTTGGGTAAAACAGTTTTTATGTTATAAAGTGTTAAGTTCCAAAAAACGAGGAAAAATCTTGATGGATTTACGGCGTTCTTGTTTAGTACGGCAGAATACTGATTGATAATTTCAATTTTACAGCAACGTTATTCAATAGATTCAACCTTTCTAACAACTGTCCCCTAAAAAATACCACTTGGGCGCAAGTAGAGAGGAGTCTGGATTATATGACTGAAGAATGAAGAACCGTTGAACAGGATCAGTTTTAGTCGATTGGCACAGTGATGTAATTTTACTGTCTTTGCCTGGAGTTTTGCGTGTAGCGGCCCGGGCCGGGAGCGAATACCCTGGCACGTAATACCCATGATACCCATATTACCTTCATTGCTTCCTTGACTTTGGGGTTTCGGTAGTTCAAGTCCGGTTGACCTGGTGAGAACATCCTGTAATAAAACTGTTGCCGCTTTTCATGCCACTGCCAAGCCGAGCCACCGAACAAACTCAGCTGGAAAACGTGAAATAAAACCTGGATTACATTTTGCAGAAAGGAACTGAGCGTATTCAAATGTTGTTACGATTGAGAACTTAAACTCGGAAATTAACTGCGGAGATGAGCCTATTAACTTGACTGTAATCAAATGTACCTAAGGTTTCGCGCTCGGATACTTTCAGCTTTAATATATATATGTCTTTTAATTAATATGATTTATCTTATATTTTTTTCTTACCCAATTGTTAGGAGGCACTGGTGGGGTGCCTGGAGCATGAGGCTTGGAGTCTTTCCATACATAGAAGTCCGTGTAGGGGTCCTCTCTGTTCAGAGATTTTTTAAACCACTCACTCTCATCGCTCGTATGGTTCGGGATGAAGTCGATGATGACACGCATACCTTAAATCAAGAAAATACGAAATACCATGAAGGAAACATTATGGACATTATGGATAATAAGGAAGGAAATACTATATGAAGTAAAGCCTTAGTCATCTATCCGTGTAAAAATTCTAATTTTTCACCCAGCAATAGTTTCATCGTAAAGCACCCGAGAAAAACAGACAGGTTTCGTCTGCAATTTTCAAAAAAGACAAATCTTAGTAGACTATTTTATCACTTTGCTTAAATTATTTGTACATTTTAAAAATGAAATCGCGAGAATTGCAATTTTTGTTATCCAAGGTGATTCTAAAGCCCCGCACAACCCCTAAGACTTCGATGGCTCTTCCCAATTTTGGAGGTGACCCCCTTATTGTCGAGGTCCAAAAGTTGTTTCCTTTGACTTGGGAACACACAAAAAATTTCAAATCTCTATCTCCATTTGTTCAAAAGTTGCAGAAGTGAGCCGGGTGCTGATGGTGGAAGACTTTTGGACCACCCTGTACTGCCATTAGCTAAAAATTATCCTCGTGCGTCGCTGCTGAGGGAGAATGTTTTACAAGCCTTTAGACGTTGCCAAATTTTCCTTGATAAAATACAAATTTCCAGGAAAACTTGTGAAAATGATCAAAGAATTATATTCGAAAATTTGATCTTAAGTGTCTTAAAATTGACAGGAAAAATATACATGACTTGCCAAGAAGAAATACATCTTTCATCGCAGGAAAAATGGCAACGCACAAAAGTTCAACCGGCGTTTCTCCTCCACAAGATACATTTTCAAACTTAAAAAAGTTACCTACGGCATTACTTCCCCTGCATCAAAATAACTCAAAGAAGCAGCTTCTCTTTATGAAAGGGATATCTCCGTTCGTGGTAAACAGCAGCGGTGGTAGCTGGTCGATAACCAAAGTGAAGAAACGCGATTCCGACTTCAGCCATCCCCTGGTAAAAATTGGCGATAAGAGCTGCGTTTCAAAATACCATAGGAATTCTTATAGCCGGCTAAAGAAGGCTACAGAAAATCATATACGAGTGTAGAATATGGAGAAAATCATACGGCCGGGCTACACGAAGCGATAAAAAATTATACAGCCGGACTATAGTTCCCATCACCGGGCTTTACACTTCATCCCCTGGCTGTTGCTTTTTCGCCATCGATTATAAAAAGCTATAAGAAATTGTGCAGAAATTCGTGTGCTTTGGAAATCATTAGTTTGATACGGAATCACCTTAATATTTACAAAACACACATTATATTTTCCTTTAATACATATTTTTTTTTTCATCAATTAAACTGAGAATAATCTATACAGGATGTGCAAACATTTCAAAATCATGAGTTGAATAACGCTGACCCCGCCAGATTAAATATTAGAACCTAACACAAAGCGGAGCGGCGACGCACTGGCGCCTACAAACCTAACAGGGATACTTCACGCATTGCGCAACGCGTGAAGTATCCCTGTTAGGTTTGTAGGCGCCAATGCGCGTTTCGCGCTGGCTGCCCGCCTGCCTGCACGGCGCTTGAAGCAACTATTTCACACCAGAGGTATTGCACAGTATCATACGAAATTGAAGGCGCTCTAATATATTAGGAATGGCAGGCATCCATCAAAAGTACGGAGCTTTCCTCGCAAAATAAATCAAGATACTACGGCCCAAAAAGAGAGCAGTATGCCAAAAACTCACTAAGTCCTAGCATCCGTAATTAGTAACGTTTAGCATACATTTTATCGCCTGGTTGTTGCTTAATCGCCATCGGCTATAAGAAATTGTGTAGCCGGCTATAGAAGCTATTGGAAATCTTACAGCCGGCTGTAGGTCTATGGTATCTTGGAATACAGATTCTACTGCCAATTTTTACCAGGGTCGAAATAAAACAGGAAGGGACACGTCGTTGACGGTACTATAAGATGTGGAGTTTAGTTTATTGCAACTTTGAATTTTTGCTCATTAAAAATTACCTCCATCAGCAAATCCACTATTGCTCCGAAATACTTTTCTTGGTATGTAAAATTTTGGTGAATACATACACACACTCGCCTTTGGAGCAGATCTGATGCCAATTTCAGCGCAGAACGACATTTACGTGAGTGTCAGAAAACTTTGCAACCGGTGGCGTGGCGTGCTTTGCGATATATCGATTGATTTATCATTTAAACCTATGGAAAAGGATCGATTAACAGGGTGTTCGCAGCGAACACCTTAATAATCGATTCTTTACCGTAGGTTTAAATTACATAACAATCGATAAATCGCAATTCACGCCACGCCACTGTTTGCAACTTGTGCAAATAACGCTGACGTTAGTCTCGAATAGCGTCAGCTTCATAACGACTTATCTTAGAGAGCAAACACTGATCAGCACTGAAATCAGTTTTCAAGTGCGCTGACCTGACATTGATCAAGATTGACACAAATATTATTTACGCAGGCCTCAGTCTTTTTGACAGCTTTTGTATGCTGCTAGATGGTGACTTTAGAGTAAAATTTCTTGTCAAAGTGCTGTACTTGCCATTTTTAGCTCGGATGTTAAGAAAATATTCTTCATAGGATGGGAAAGATTTAAAAAAAGGCAGTGAGATCATGAAAATATATTACCGCTCAAACTCTGAGGCGAACTTTTCGGGGTAAAATTTTCCCTAAGAGTTTGCAAATTGATACAGTAATTATCCATAATTACTCACCTCTGATATGAATTGCGTCGATTAAATTTTTGAGATCCTCCAAAGTTCCGAAAACGGGCTCAGTTTGTCGGTAGTCGGCAATGTCATATCCGAAGTCAACCATCGGTGATTTGAAAAAAGGCTGAATCCACAACAGGTCAAATCCAACTTCGTGTAGGTAGTCCAATTTTTCCTGAATTCCTAGGAGAATGACGAGAAATTTTCACTGATAATGAGTGGCTTTCTTGCTTCCCTCCTGTTTTCTTGCTAGTTTTTAAAGTTACTTGAAATAAACTTCCAGCTGAACTTCAAAATGCTCATGTAAAACAGTATTTAATGGGAAAAAATCATATTTCTGTTGCAATTTAGGGGTAAAAAGAACCGGAAATGAGTGAGTATTGCCGGCAATTATTCCAAGCATGAAAAGATGTTTAGTGACTTTAAGAATTAGGCAGCAGCCACCCGTCTTTTTTTTCTTTTTTTTCTTTTTTTTTTCTTTATTTCTGTGTCAAATTTTTAGGGGAAGTTTTTTAGGATTGGGCTGGGATGGCTACCACCACCTAGAATGTTTAGGATGACTTTTTTATATTTTTGATTACTTTTGATAATATTATTTACTTTTATATATTTTCTGAAAACCATAAGAAATTATAAAACAAAATAATTTTTATCAAACTAAAATTGAAACGCCTCATGAGAAACTTTACTTCAACCGTTCTGACATAATAAAAAAAGAAAATCAATCAAGTTGGCGATAACTTTATAAGGAGACAAAAATGAAGAACAGCCTGGAATGAGTGACACAAAGGGTGACCTCTTGCCATTTTCACTCCAATCTCCACACTCTTGAGAGCCCCGAACTCTTTGGTGACTTTTGTCAACACCCGAGAATGTGTTCGTCGATAGCGCCGCCGGCCGACGGAACCCTGAGCGCCTTCAATTTTTTTGTATGCAACACGCACATCCATCAAGTTCGAATAGTTGCATCAAGGGGCTACTATCAACGCCACGCACGGCAGGATACAAACTGTGTGTAATATGTTCCATTTTCGTCTACAGTTGATTAAAGTATGTTGACTTTTCACCTTTCCTGGATATTGTAAGGATCCTGGCGTCTTAATTTTAAAGGGCAGCTCAATTTATGTGCAGAGCAGAGAAAATCACACGGATTTTCTGTGAGCGTAGAGGATGGTGTTTATGTCGGAAGAAAGAAAGATGGAAAGGTGTCATCAAAATATTAAATGATGAATGCGTGTTAATTCATAACTGAAAAATTCAGCGCACGATGAACACTTTATGAGGTAATTTTGGAACAATTGAGGTAGGCAATGATTATTTTAAGACAGGCCCGCTTGAGAATGCGGCAACATAAAGGAAAATAATTAAAAAAACCGGTATTAAATCTACAACTTTAATCTTGGACTTTTTTCAGGCTGTGCTTAGGGCAGTTAGGGCCTCATATGCTTCTTTAATTTAAAGTATTTTTCACTTGAAATCATGAAAATGTCGCACAGTATATTTCTACCGGATCGGACATTTTGGTTGAGGCGGTGAGAGCCAAAAGTTGGATGGCAACGTTAAAAATTCCATCTGACAATTTTCTTCTTTATTGATGCAAGGGTGCACATGTCATAACAAAAATTTCAGAGAATTTTCGTTGAATCACAAAGTAGATTTTTTAAAAATATATAGAATTAAGTATCTGCAACCCTCCTAAAGTATGCGTGTCATCAAATGAAATTGTGATGCAATTGCGAATTATCCCTTCCGTAGCTCAAAGTTGTGTCTAAATATAGTTATGTATACGTATTGTTGAAGGTTCATTGACTCCAAAGATTCATACTTTCAAGACCTGGTTCTACGGTTCAAGAAAAACCTGGTTAAAACGAAATCGACCAAAAATAAATTTTAAGAGGAAAAAAAAATGCTGTGTACCTCTAAAGTCTCCCGTTCCATCGCCATCTGAGTCTTTGAAAGATCGTGGGTAGATTTGATAGATAACTGTATTTTCGAACCAGTGTTTTGATTCCACTTCGACGATTGACAAGACAAACATCAAAATTGCGGAGATTGCAACACGCGTAATCCTGGTCATTATCCCTAAAATATAAAAACCCCTCGATTTTTGAGTGCAATTAGGGAAGTTTTGACTACTAATCCTTGGAGTAATGGGGCGTGTGAAAGTGAAAAGGTGGAAAGACCTATGCGTGGTATGTAGTATTGAAAACTCATTATTTAGATTCAACTTTCTCAGAATGTTAAAGAAAATTCTTAAGGTCCATTCAATCATGTTTCTATTGCCGTGATAATCATGTATCGTGCATTCAAGGAGAGCACCATTAATTTACTTTTAATGGACCCCAATTCTTTGAGAATTGAAATTTTTCGTCAAATTTTAAGATTTTAATGTTCTTCAAAAAAGTATTTTATTTCAGAAATGTTTGCAAATACCGAAAATAAAGCAGCTTTGCCATGCAAATAATGCCAATGTAACCGGGTTACTTTAGTCTTTAACGTGAATCAAGGAGAAAACAAACATCAATAAGTTATTGAACAAGTTTTTCTGCATTCTTGGTTTATCCATTTTAAATTTTTGGTAAAAATACGGATCAGTACGCCTAGAAGCAAATTTTAGCATCTCTCCTCAAAAGATATACTCAATAAAACCTAAAAAAACCCTGAATTATCCAAACGCGAATTGAGGGGCTTGGAGGATAAGGCGCATAAGTGCAGTTTTTGCTGTTTCGAGAAATAAGTGTTTGAAATTTCGAAATGACATGGATCCTTGTGGCGGAGAGAAAGTTTAAACTAACTTTTTAATGCTTAAAAATCGGAATTTGAAAGCGAATATTTCCCAGAATATGCATTAAGACTAGTTTTACTTGAAATAATTAATATCTCATTTTTCAAAAACTGCACTTATGCGAGTTTTCCTCCAATCCCCTCAATTATTGATTTTGATCAGTCAAATTAAACAATTGGTATTTTTGTTCGGATTGGTACTTTCAGCTTGAGGTCAGGTTTCACTAAACAGATTTTTTAGATATAAACAGCTGCATGAGGCTTCCAGGCTTAGGTAATGAATCCATTTCTTTCCCCCGAAAATTTAAAGTGAAACCAGCGATTTGGTAAAATTTCTTCGATGTCCCGATATTTGCTTACTTTCGCTGCAGATTCTCGTTAGGAATAACAATCGTAGGTACGTAAAAAGTTAGTAGTTGATTCTATTCGAGTTTGAAACGGTAAAATGTCTGAATTTCTGTATCCATGAAAAAAATATTAAAAAACAATTCTTCAATATAAAAATAGTGCTTTACCCATCGATGAGAGGTCAAAAAATTAACGCACACTCTTCAGGCACTGAGTGGAATGCACGATGGGCAAAAACACTTTATATAAATCTCCAGGTTGGATCCTGAGAAGATCGTGACCGATAGCTTGGCTTTGAGATAAATTCAAAGTTGAGTGATTGGCGACCGTCTGGTGGGTGGAGTCGTCTTGGGACTGTTGCGCCAATAAACACAAAGCAAACATGGAAGCATGACGAGGCAAGTGGGTGTGAATGGGTGGTGCGTTATCCCTGATTTATCGAATATTGCAGCGAAAGTAAAGGCCCTGAGCTACTTCCTTCCTCTCCAATCCCGTTAATTATCTGAAACCGAGGTTCTCGACCCATGTGCGAGGGCGTCGAACTCCCTACGAATTATTGGGAAGGTATAAGGGAGATACATTCTGATTTTCTCCCATGGGTATTCATATTGATGTGCTAAGGAAAAGAGGAGCTCCATAAAAATGTTCTTTGAACTTTTTCAGAAAAAGTTCGAAGGGCGCTCATACCGTACACTGTATGAAAGGTGGGCCTTTTCCTCTACTACCCAAGTATGCACAAAATGTCGCATTGCTGACATAAAGGGAATCAGAAAAATGTATCACTATTTGAGCAGGGACAACATTATTTGTCCATTTTCTTTCAGAATAGTTAATTCCCATGCAAATATTCATCAAAGAAAGAGGAAGTGTGAGCAGTCGATACTGAATACTGGTCAATTTACGAACGTTAGTGCGCCTTCATTTTCGTCTGATACTGTGCAATACTTCTGTGGTGGAATAGTTGCTCAGAGCGCCTTTTAACTGTGTCGCTTCAACGTGTTGGTAGGAGATTACGATTACCGCTATTTCTAAAATTACAATCTAACCCGGATGCAATTACAGATTTCCACGCAAGGGATACAGCCAACTAAATACCCTCTCCAAATGTGAATTCGCTCGAAAATTGCGCTGGACACATCGCGGTCCACATTAAAGCGCACATTAGAACGCAATCTACGTGGTTTGTAACACCCTCTTTCAAATTCACCGCGTATGCGGGCAGTTTTTCTTGACAGCCGGCAGTCAGGTTTGCCCGAAAAGAGACCTATTCTAAATAAACAAACAATCTCGGAAACTGCTATAAACTCTCTTGACGTAAGATTTCAATTCTCTCAAAGCTTTCGCTTTTGCAAAATAAAGAAAGAAAAAGGAAACAAACGATTGAAAACAATTAAAACCACGCAATGGAAAAAGCTGGTGAAATCGTTTGTTCACTCAGAATAGTTTTTCTGACTCCTGTCTGTGCGAACCTGATCGGCGGTGACTGAGAAAATCTGCTCGCAGACGCGGGAAACTCAAAAAAGCGTGTTACAAACTCTGCGGATTGCGCGCTAAACAATGAATTTCAGACTTGTTTTAAGTGCCCATCGCGATTTTAATGCGATTTTACCGGTAAAAAGAATATTTGTTTAGCTGTATCTTTTGCGTGCAACTGACCCATTGAGGGGCCTGGAAGACAAGGCGCATAATGCAGTTTTTGAAAAAATTGAGATATTTATGGTTTTACGTAAAATCAGTCTTAATGCATGTTCTGTGAAAAATTCGCTTCCAAATTCTAATTTATGAGTATCAAAAAGTCAGTTTGAGCTTTCTTTTCTTCATAAGAATCCGTGTAATGGAAAGTTTGCACGCAAATTTAGTGCCTCATATCTGAGAGTGCTTAAAGAGCTGATTTCGCAGTATTTTCTATACTTTTTTCTGTAATGGGAAATAGTCTAATAATTGTCTTAAAAGTGAGAAAATGCACCGCCTTGTGACGTAATCTGGCGGCATTTCCCATTAAATTGCATGTATTTTAGCAAATTAGATATTTTCGTCACCTCTCCTTCAATAATTGCTCAATTAATGAACCAATGGCATCCTCGTGTGCAGTTAACTCTGTATAGTTTCCACTTCAACATGAAATTCTTCAAATTTCAGACACCTGCAAATTCACCATTTCGAAAACGTATTTCTCGAAATAGCAAAAACTGCTTTCATGCGCCTTGACCTCCAAGCGCCTCCATTGTCCTTCCCTCCTTTATAAAATTGAAGTCCCTAGGTATACTCGAATATCTTTAAACAGTGCAATGGATGTACGTACATTGCAATATTGAGGCTTGTATAAATCTTTGAAGAGAGTGCGAAAGTGCGTGCCGCGAAACTCTGTTACTTACTGAATTGTTTTGTCGATCGCATGATCTCATCATGCGGAAGTACCTACCTAATGATCTTATTGAGCCACTCATCTTGCGAGCTAAATGAATGCTGGCGGGGTCAAAATTCGATCGAAAGCGTACTGACCTACATTACCGAAATGCTAACCGAAAGTTTATTCAATAGGTATAAGTACGCGGAATGGATGTTGATTTCGCTTTCAAGAACTCTGATAACTTGAGAGCTTAGGTGCGTCCGTAGTTCGTTCACCTACGCGCCGAGATTCTGCACCGCACAGCTCGTAGATCCTCGGTGGAATTTAAGACGATCGTTTAGGTGAATGGGGATCGTATAAATCAAATAAATCTGAACTGATGGATCTACGAAAGATTTACCTACTTATCTTTTACTTATCTTACTTGTGATATTGCGGATTCTTTGTCATATTTCACCATTTTCAAGGTTGACTCCACGATCATTATTCTTATTCTACGTTCCGTGCGTGTTTTTCATTGGACGTGTATAATTGAAAAGGAACTGTACCCATTCTGACATGAGCCATGAAAACCATGAGAGCACATGCATGGCAGGGCTCATGTCACGCTGTATATAGTTCCGATTGATTTAAATGCGTCAGTATGTGGTTCTTCAAGGTCCATCTTTCTGTGGAAAGTGTTACGTGCCTGCCGTATACCTATCCACACTCTTTCCTATCTAATTAATTTTACATGTTACTCATCTTTTGGTATCCTTTTTACGTTAGATCAACGGATATCCAACTCGTTTTCCCAATCGCCAATAGAAAAGTTCGTCAGCTCTTGCTCCGACGTCATCTATTTTCACCTTGCCTGAGACATTGGCCGCACCATCGAGATTGACACGGGGTCATTTTTTCGTTTGGCGGTCTTAGACGCAAGTTTTAGGAGCCCACCAAAGCGTGGCGTAAATGATCGATTATCGATAGCTCGCCATTTGAAGCTATGGTGAAGAATCGATTACTAAGGAGTTCGCTGCGAGCACCCTGATAATCGATATTTTTTCATAGGTTTGAGTGGCGTATCAATCGATATATCGCAAACCACGCCACGCCACTGGAGCCCAGTGCCTCGTTCGCTCTTTGATTTGTTTAAGTTCCCAATGTACAGATATTTTCCACTATCTAAATTTTGTTTATGCACTTCTTTCGTTGCAGTTTTTACCTGTGAGGCCTGCACAGCACATCACGAAAGCCTGGCAGCCAGTTATCTGCTGATTCATCAAAAGAGCATTGAAGCGATTTTCGAATCTTCGTATTTTCGTGACCTTACAATAAACGTCCCGGGACATAGTCAATCGTTACTCAGGACTCAACGTAAACTTTTTTTGCTGAGAGAATCTACACGAAAAAAAGAGAGAAAAAATCCGTCTCCCGCTAGCTCCACGATAAGATAGCTGATGGATATTATCGTGTGTTTAATTCAAATTCACGCACTGTTTATACTGCCTGCGTGGTCTCCAAGCATATTTCGTCAGAGCCCGCCTGTGCGGTGGATCTTTGGCTCATTCAGGATTTTACACCACACCTCAATTCTTGTTGAAAAAAAAAAAAGAAACAAAGAAAGAAAAATCTTTTGACTTTGAAATTAATCATATCTTTGTATAGGTAATAAAGGATAAAAAAATTACCGTTGAAATTATTTAATTATAAATAAAAGAAATCCAGAGAAAGTAAGGAAAAAGAGGAGGAGAAGAGGAGAAGAGCAGAAGAGCAGAGGAGAAGAAGAGAAGAAGAATAGAAGAAGAATAGAAGAAGAAGAGAGGAAGAAGAGAAGAAGAGAAGAAGATGAAGAAGACGAAGAAGAAGAAGAGAAGAAGAGGAGAAGAGAGGAAGAGAAGAATAGAAGAAGAAAAGATGAGAAGAGAAGGCACACGGATAGTGAAACTACATAAGCACGTATCTCCATCGTAGTGCTTCTAATTCTTCGTTCCCACTTATGTTTTATGGATATTAGTATATTGAGCATTTTGGTTCAACTTCTCGAAGAATATTCTAAAGAGAGCAAATAAAAATCACGAGAGATTGCAATGATGAGGATCAATCACCCTCCAAAAATGGAAAATTAAACAGGAAAACTGCAACGTCGCAACCCGAAATACATAGAATTGCGATTTCACCAGTGATAGGAGTTAGCAATCAGTAGCTAAGACAAATGCCACTAAATAGTCGTGTCGGTTCATCAAACCACAGAGGTTGACTTGCAGCATAGATTTTGGCAATTTTCGTCGCTTCTCACATGGATTCCATAGAACAGGAAAAAAAAAACAAAGACAAAAATCGAGATGAAAATGAAAACCACTTATAATTACAAATTCGTGTTTCAGCTGGTGGGGCATGAAAACAAGACCGCATTATGGAAATCGTTTTTCTCATATGTAGATGCTGTGTGACGATCAGTTTTAAACTTCACGACAGTTTGAAAGCTTGCATCTTATTTTATCTACAATTCGTATCGTTATTAACTTGATTAATTTCTTCCTTTGTGCGCTTAAAAACTTAATTAACAAATTACCTAATTTCGTGAAGATTCGGTCATTTTGTCATACCGTAAGTACCTATTCATACTATTAATAACGCTTTAATTTCGTTGGGCTTGTATTATTCGTAAATTCGAATCACTTTTTTTTCACTTTTTTCCTATCTCTCTCTTTTCTCGGTTTTTGTTATCTCGTTTTGTGGCATTTAAAATATCATATCTAAACGTGACTTTTTTAAATCGTGCATACCTAGTGTTTCCAATTCTACTGACAGTGAGAGTAACCGCAGTGAAATGACTAAATGAGTGTGCAAAATTTCTAGGTTTTCCAGGTTAGTCTCAGCAGTTTTCCTCATACTAATAAATACGACCAATCTCTGTTTTAACGGCTGAAATACCGATTTAATCGTTGCGGGTACAGAATGAAAGGTTTTCCCCCCTTTTTCTAGGAAATGGGTTTTATTTATTCAAGGTATTTAAATGAAAACAAAAGTAAAATATGTGACCGTCTTTTAGTAAAAGGACCTTACTTCACCTAATCTCAAACAATTTGAGTAAATGCTACCATAGCAAAAAAGGAAATAAATGTTCTTGAAACATTTTTGGATCAAAAAAAGAAGAGGAAGAAGGAGAATAATCCTTAATTGCTAAGAAGCCGGCTTTTATGGCGATCTGAAGTTTGCAATTAAAATAAATAAGTAGTTTCGAGAAAAACCTACCCAAAATTCAAATTTACCATGTTCAATGTTCAGGGACTGCAGCCGTGCCTTTTGTTGCACATATTACCCACCACATACACAAACAGCTCAGTAATTTTATTCCGATCAGGGGGGAAAAAACTCAAGTATAAGTATTATAATGTGATAAGTCATCAAAATTAAAAGAGGGAAAACGCTATTCAATTTTTTCAATTTTAGGTGTGAGGACGAAATTGCAATGTCGCAAAATCGTGGGAATTTGATGATGTAGACACCCATTATTTTTTCGTTCTAAGATTATGTCGATTGGAGTGGCACAAAGTAAGAAGAAAATATAAAATCTCTGCATGCTAGGGAAAACATTTTTTTGGCAAAATAATTTGCTCGCAAAAATACGCTCTTGTCATAATTGAAAACAACTAATATGTTCCTCATGCTAAATGTTTGTTTAGCCATTGAAATTAAGCGTGGAGTATGTGCGAAGGGCGCAGAATAATGGGGACGGGCGAACGAATCAGCGTTAGCCCAGAAAGGGCGCAGGTGAACTCTGACTTGGACCCGAAACGGGCGCCTCATGACGATAAAGACCTAAAGCGGGCACCCCACTCCAAGCCGCCATTTACACTGAGTCAGCTCAAAAAAGCCATTCCTGCACACTGTTTCAAACGGTCCGCTGCTCACTCCTTCTATTTTTTGCTCAATGACCTAGCCATGATATTCACTCTTTACTACTCGGCCAATACGCTGATTCCACTCCTGCCAACGCCTCTACGGTGAGTCATCTTTCTCTGAAAATGGAGTGCACAAAATTTAAATGGACCCCTCTGATCTTGCGTCCTGAACTCCAACTAGTGACAGCCCTCAATGCCGGGTTAAAACTATATTATAATATCGGAACGGTGTCAACATTGATGACAACGTGTAAATACAACTATTAATACTCGGCGGATGTCCGCGTTGCATACACAAACAATTGAAGGCGTTTCGGCTGCGCTCTCCTCGCGCAGCCGACGCACGCGGGGAAGCTTGATCCGTTACTATGCAACGTTATACTCTTAACGGAGGGAGGGGATTTGTCAAGGGATCAGAATGCCCTCCCCCTTCGCCCTCTCCAAGAATCTTCAGTGCTGAGAAACCTGAAAGTGAGTCATTAGTACTACTGCATACAGAAATATTTTGCAAATGCCCGGCAAAAAAAAAAAAAAAAAAAAAAAAAAAAAAAAAAAAAAAAAAAAAAAAAAAAAAAAAAAAAAATGCTTGAAAATATTACACGGAATTGGTGTTATGAAGGTTTGAAGTTTGCCGTTCAAAAGACTTAGTTTTGATCAAAAACAGTGGCGTGGCGTGCTTTGCGCTTTATCGATTGTCATGCCATTTAAACCTATGGAAAAGGATCGATAAACAGGGTGTTCGCAGCCAACACCTTAATAATCGATTCTTTACCATAGGTGTAAATGGCAGAACAATCGATACTTCGCAATTTACGCCACGTCACCGATCAAAAACTACTGGAATTTTGTTGCAGTTGAAGTGTATTTCCTAGATGAGCACACAAAAACGGAATCGTGCGCTTACTTCATATGTATTCATAGGAATCTTGGAACATGAAGCAGTGGCGTGGCGTGCTTTGCGATATATCGATTGATCTGTCATTTAAACCTTAGGAAAAGGATCGATAAACGGGGGGTTCGCAGCGAACACCTTAATAATCGATTCTTTACCATAAGTTTAAATTACATAACAAGCGATATATCGCAATTCACGCCACGCCACCGACATGAAGCTGAAGCGGAGACCGGGGAGAGCATGATGGCTTAACTGATGGACGAATTTAAATCAAAAGGAACCATCTCTAGTGTAACCTGGACCCTGAGACTCATAAAAATACATACATTCCAGGACTCAAGTCGCGATGGAAACAGTTCGTTTTGATTTAAATCCGTCCAATTATTGCAGTTTTAGCAAATTACAGCGAATTGAGCTTAAAATTTAGTGGCCTGTGAACTGTGAAATATCAGTCTTAAGTAAAAGAATATTTGACACTAGGTACGATTGTTCAATACCTTTATCGATCTATAATCTCAAATTTTTGGACTCTGTGAACTTGACTACGTCGGTTAGGTATTTAACATGGATTACATTTTGCAAAAAGGAACCAGGAGCGTTGCAATGTTGCTCAAATTTTACAACTTCTTTTGTCTTGGAAGAAAAACCTGAGTAACTATTAACAGTTTCTATTTTACTCGATAAAAACTATAAATTTAAGACAACAAATTTTTTTTAATATATATATATATACATATATTTATTCTTGTTTCTTGTTTAGAAAAATTCGACGCATTTGTAGAAGCCATGTGCAAGCCAATAAACAAATAAAGATATATATTATTATTATTATTATTATTATATATTATTAATTATGTAAATTTCATATTTTTTCATGCTTTCGGTAATTTTATTGCAAAGGATGAAGTTGCACTATCTTAGCACCTCTGCAATGATTCTGGTTCTGTTTCGCAAAATGCAATCCACATGATTTGACTTGCTGGGGCCCTTTTGGCATGCTTCACCGAAAAAATAGTAAAGTTGATTTAACATCCTGGATGGAAATAAAGTGTGTTAGAACTCATACAATTCTGAAATACCCGCTACAGCGGTTACTTTAGCAACGCCTAGATGTAGAACTAACTGCCGTGGGGGGTAACGCAGCATTTTTTAAGTTCTCGCACACTTTTTTTTACATCCAGCGGGCTGATTATTGAAATCGATAGACAAAGCTATAGACAAAGAAGACATAGGGGGTATGGAACGATCCTATTGGTTGAAATGTGTGGTTCTCATAGACTAAGAGGGAAAATGATGGACTAACCATCGGATTCCTCGTGGATTGCCGTTAAATAGTCTATTACCTGCCTCCTTTGTCCATTGCAACCAACAGCTTCCACCAATTGGTTCCCTCCATATCCTATTTTTCACCTTTGTCTATCAATTTCAATAATCGGCCCGCAGAACGTTAAATCAACTTCGCTTTTTTTTCGGTGTGGATTCTATCCGTGAGTTATCATTAATAATTTAGTCTTTTGAGCTGATCTGGACAAACTTCTCATGTTGCGAGGCAGGTTGATAGCATGGCCATTGTACTGGGCGGCGCAGGGGTGCGTGATGACGGGGGTGTGGGTACTGGCGCACGAATGCGGGCATCGCGCTTTCAGCGAGCACCAGTGGCTGGATGACGCGGTCGGTTTCGTGCTCCATTCGGCGTTGCTGGTGCCGTACTTCTCGTGGAAGTACTCCCACGCACGGCACCACGCCAACACGGCCTCCCTGGAGCGCGACGAGGTCTTCGTACCACGTCGGCGGGAGCACCTCCAGTGGTACTTCAAGTACCTCATCGTCTCGCCCACCGGCCGGCTCTTCGGCCTCCTGGGAGCTCTTCTCTTCGGCTGGCCGCTCTACCTCGCCTTCAACGTCACTGGCCGGTAAGTCATAGGGTCTGGATACACGATCAAATTCCGAACCAATTCGGATCAAAGTAGACCACTTGATGACTGGTGGTCACCATGCAACAGTTCTCTTTGATCAAAATTGGACGGGCCGTTAAATTTTGATCAGAATGGAGTGCCACCATTCATCATTTCCTGCCACAGGAAACATTTCTGCCAGGTTTTCAATTTAAAATTAAGCAAATTAATGATTTTAAGACCGATGACTCCCGACACTTTGATGGGGATTGGTTCGGTAATTTGACCGTGTATTGAGACCTATACGGTGCCTTTAAAAAAAGAGTATTTGTAGAGCTTTTTGCCCCGATGAGGCTGCCTACACTGCCAGGCGCCTATACTGCCGTGCTAAGGAAGAACGCCGTATAAAAACTTGAGGGTTGCTAAATTTCCTTCAATAAAATGTTTCTTTTTGAGAAAAGATATTAGTCTTTTTCCTCGAAATTTTCAGGGACTCAAGGTGAAATTGCGAACAAATTCATCTGAAAAATTGGAAGAAAAATATTTATAAGTTTACCAGGAAATTTGTATTTTATCATTGGAAAGTTGGCGACGTCTGGAGGTTCATACGGCGTTTTCCCTTAGCACGGTCGTATAGGTAGAGGTTTTCGGTCTTTAAGAAGCAATAATTATCGTTACATACAAGAAACACGTTATGCAAGAAACTGGTCCATAACATGTAGCAGCATTATACAACTGAGTAGAATCATATCAATCTTGTGGAGATTCATAGAAAATTCACATCTGAAACTACCGTAACGGACGTAGCTGATGGACTCAATTTGTAAGAGAGTTATTTACCCTCGATCTCTCTTTCTTACACATTGAGTCAATAGGTGACGTCCGTTTTGTTAGTTTCCGAAATAAAGTTTCAATGAATTTTTACAAATTGGATGTCATTCTACCCAGTATTCATGCTACTACACGTTATGGTTCAGTTTCTTGCATTATCTTGTACATTACAAGGGCCGGATTTAGGGGGTGGCCACATGGGCTGTGGTCCATGGCGGCAAATTTAGGGGGTGGCAAATTTTGCAATTTTTTTAAATGAAGGTACCTATTAAGCAAATCGGATTCAGAAAACAAATTACAAACGAGAATAGGCGACAAAATCTCTCGTTTTCAGACAGTTTAGTAATTCTTAATTTTGTCGTTTTTCAGTGATACAAGAGATATCGCATAGCACCCTTAATTAGTCGAGTTAAGAGAGAAACCAAACACGCAATTTGGCCTGGAACGGCGCGGCGCAGAGAGCAATGATGACGAGGGCTTAAGATGAAAAGGAGAGGCCCTCAGCGCGGCGGTCGGAATGTAACACATATTAGCGCCTACAAGACTGTAGGAGTACTTCACACATTGCGTTAAACAGTGCGTTCAGCAGCGGTCGGCGTGAAGCGCATTGCGCCTGCAAAACTGTGAGAATACTTCACGCATTGCGCAAAACACAGTGCGGTCAGCGCATTGTAATTGTAATTTTTTAATTTTTCTCACTGGGACGTATTTATGCTAAAAGGAAGGAGGGACAGGTGGGAAAGAAGGAGTGCGGCGAGTGCGCTCGTTATTGAAGACCGTAAGAATGAATGGGAATCATAGAGCACCAATGACAGCGTTGACGACTAGGACGACAAGATTGCTGGTTTGGCACTTCAATTCATGAGCCCTGTTCACAACGCTCTTGGCGCAAGCGTACGGCTCACGGGTCAACATATTTTGCCACTTAGTTCCTTTTGATTTATACTCAATCCCACTTTTCCATTTTGCGAAAAGGAATCATGCCCACTTTTACATTGTTTCTTACGCAGCTCAAACGAGCACATCCCATCGATCCCACCCGTCTTTGCGGGCTGATTATTGAAATTGATAGACGAAGCTATAGACAAGGAAGTTCTGGAGAGTATGGAGCGATCCCATCATATATTTATTTCGAGTTCCTTATAAGCTTTACAAAAATCGTGAACACGAAAGGTATTAAAAATTGAACATAAATAGGTACAATAAGAGTAAGGTGTAACAGCGAAAGGAAAGGTAAAGGGATAGAGAGAACCGGAACTGCAATTCAGCATGACATCAGCTCCTCAGAGCGATCCCATTGTTGAAATGAATGGTTTCTACAGACTAAAGGGAGAAAATGATGGACTGACTATAGGGTCTCTCGTAGGTTGCCGTTAGTTAGTCTATATATACCTCCCTTGTCCATTGCCACCACCCGCCTCCACCAATGGGATCCCTCCATATCCTTCTGGTCTTCTCTGTCTATAGCTTTGTCTATCAATTGGACGTATTTCTATCAAACGGAACTAAGCGCCAAATTGAGTTGCTTTTGAGGAATTTAGAATGCCGGATAGCGCGTCCTGTCAAACGGAACTAAGTGCCATGGAAAGGTATTGCGATTATAGGACGGAATGAGCTCGACGCCCGATTCCGCCACCAATCCAAGCCCCCCTCTACTTTCCTCCTCCGGTGGCGCTTAGTCCCGTTTGACAGAAATACGTCAAATTTTAATAATCGGCCTGCCGGTTCCTTTTAACATACATACGTCAATTTCAATCTGTCGGGCAGGTCGTACGAGCGTTTCGCGAACCACTTCGACCCCGGGAGCCCGATCTACCCCGAGAAGAAGCGTCTGCAGATCATCGTCTCCGACCTGGGCATGCTGGCCACCCTGTGGATCCTCTACCAGGCCTCCGTGGCAGGAGGGTTCTGCTGGGTCTTCTGCATCTACGTGGTGCCACTCCTAGTCGTCAACGGGTTCCTCGTAGCGATCACCTACCTGCAGCACACCCACCCCGGGCTCCCGCACTACGACTCCTCCGAGTGGGACTGGCTCCGGGGCGCCCTCTCGACCGTCGACCGGGACTGGGGCGTCCTCAACCACGTCTTCCACCGCATCACCGACACCCACGTCGCCCACCACCTCTTCTCGACGATGCCCTTCTACCACGCCGCCGAGGCCACCGCCGCCCTCCGCCCCGTCCTCGGCGAGTACTACCGCTTCGACGACACGCCCATCCTCCGGGCCGCCTTCAGGGAGACCGAAAGATGCATCTTCGTCCAGAGGGACGCCGCCGAGCAGGACAAAGGCGTCTTCTGGTTCGCCAATCTGGGTTGAGATCACAGCTTCAAAATAAACAAATAAACAAACAAAAAAAAAAAAAAAAAAAAAAAAAAAAAAAAAAAAAAAAAAAAAAATACAAAAAAAAACAAAAAAAATTGCAGCTCAGAACGGAGTATGCCTCGAGAATTTGCGATATGAGTACTTTTTCCCTCCGAAAAACTTCGCGAGAAACACACAATTTTCACTGGTTGTGTCTGAAACACACACCCAATGACAAAAAAGATCTCTTTCTGGATTTTGCCGTCACACAGTGGATCGCGTCAATCAGAGAGATCGGACATGAAATTTTCAACTAAAACTGCAAATTTTGATGTTTAATTCCTCGCATTTTGAATTTTAAGGAGTGCTTTAAAAAACAATTTACGAGGAAACCAATAGAGCCACTTTCAAAACCTCAAAGTTTTGTATGAGCGGTGTTATGAACGTTTAAAGTTTCCAAATTGTGTCCGACCTCCCCCATTGACTCGATCCATTGTGCGCCATAGCGTGCTGCGACTTCGCACAATTTTTCGAACCACCAAAAATCTGAAAAAAAACCCGAATGAAATCTAGAAGACTTAAAATTAGTTTTGTCGATTCAAGTACATATGATTTTATCCGATCCTAAAGTAATCATAGTAAACATTATTATCTAATTCTTAAACATTTTTTCTTGGTCACTGAGTTAATTTTTCCAGTAGAGTGACAGGATTATTTGGACTGCATTTTGCAATTTGGAACTATAAATTCTGGCTCTAATGGAAAAACACTTATGTGCATAGGAAAACTAATGGCACATACGTTGTTTTTAAACCGAGCCAGGATTTATAGTTCCAAATTGCAAAATGTACTCCATTTTGACTTCAAACGACCGTTCTCTCTTACTCCTTATCATAGAGAACATATAGAGCCGTAATGTAAGTGCGGGAGCTGGTGCCACTTTAAGCAATTTCCAGGTCCCAAATTCCGAGACTCCTGTACGGCGCCGGGTCACTTGTTCGATACATAATCGATTGTTTGCCCGCCATTATGGATCAAACATGTATCGAAAAAGTGACCCGCACACCAGGCTCGGAACTCGTCGAGCAGAACATGGCGCCAGCTCTCCCATTTACATTACGACTCTATATGTACTCCATGCTCTCTATGCATGGTGCGAAATAAGTTAATTTTGATATAGATGGTTTAACGTAAACTCTGGGGTCGTAGGAACATGATGTGATATAATACCGCATAATAATGAATATTACTCATCCTTGTTCATTCAGGGGGTAGTGGAGACACAACTCAATTTTTTTTAAATCACCCATGCATATTATAGTGAGCGTGGCGTAGGAAAAAAAACTAGATTATGGACCTCAATTACCCAATCCAGGCATTGTGCGTACATAGCTGTTAAAAGGTAGCATACATAGAGGAAGATAATGACCGCATGTGTACATTCAGGTGTACGGCTTAGGTATATATGCGTAGGATTCGTAAACAGATTAATGCCGGAATCAAACGCTGAATTTGGCAGCTGAACATGGAAGTCAATGGTCATCGCTCCACGGCTGGAATTCCGCAAATTCGAGTTATTTTCATGCAGATTTGTATCGAATCTATTCGATTAGTTCAGACAAATCCGACATTATCCGATGGTCGCTGAGCCTCATTGCTAAATTTTGCGTGCGACGCGCATGCGTGTGATTCCGGCTTACTTGATCAGGTCCCACAGTAACAAAGCTCTAACTCACGCGTTGAGTAGCAATTTCAAACTCATTAGCACTCAAATAGATAGGTGTTTGATGGCCCAATGAGGTTTTTAAATTCTCGATGGTATATACCTATTTAGAGTTTAAAGGGGTGTTAATTACACCAACTCAACTGAGAATCTTCTTGTTTTTGGATTGCCAACCTTCAATTTTGCAAAATGACTTCGACAAACGTCATAGTTAGGCAAATAAAAACGCATCCCCCGTTTCTCCTTCATTGCCTGTAACGAGGACAGTGTTCCTTTTATAAGACTTAAACATCAAAGCTAACACAGCAAAAAATTAATCGACGGAAGTTATGCCAGCCTTTTCGCTTCGCAAGCTCCATCCGGAAAGATTTTTAGCTCTGAAATAGCCTCTATAATAATGCGATTTTGCTAGCTGAACTTGGAGGGCTTCTCTCGAAAAAGGTCGTAAATGAAATTTTCTGGAATTTTCCAAGTTCACGTACTCACATTTGATCAAAAATTATTCGACATAGGTACTCGTAATCGTGGAAGCACCCGCCAGTGAAACAACGCAAGTAAAGAGCAAAATACGAAATTCACCTCGCGTTGTACTAACATTTATGGTACGATTGGAATTTTTTTAGGATTTTTTTTTTTTAAAAATGTGTCTCAAAATACCAATCTTTCTTCAATTCGTACACGAAATAATACCTAAAACATTAGGAGGCATCACACAGTAAAATAACACGCTTGATTTGTCTGGGTACCGGTCAGAATACAGGGATAAACTCCATCAGAACTCGGGGGTAGGTAAACATTAAAATTACATAACTTTAAAACACTTGGATGGCAAACTAAAGGTATGTCCTCTTCTAAAAACAATTTGTTTGAAAACGCACACATACATTCCGCTATCGCAGCACTTCTTGACGCTCTACAACACCAAACCGAAACAGTCTTTTATGCTCCCTAAGCACTGTAGGGTGCACTGTTCCTTCGTTTTCTCCCGGCAGAAACTCACAAAAGCATCTGTTATGACTGTTTTTTTCTGCCATTCTGTACAAATGAGTCACTAGACCAAGTGTTTGGTATACCATCGTCAAACATGCTGTCATTCTCCGTTTCCGTAGTTTGCATATCACCTATTGATTTTTGATGGAGGCTTCTCATCAGTTTCCGGTAATTACGCGGAACCCTCCACTACGTTAGATTCGGATAGTGTAAACCAAAAAAGTGTCATAAAGAGAAAATGATGATGATTTTATGTGCACTCAGGTGTTACCTTGAAATGCTGAAGAATTTGCAAACAAGAAAACGGGTTATTAAGGTCTAAACCGTGTTCAAATTTTCAGAGTAAGCGGCCTTCATGGACCACTACGCATCTACTTGAACGAAAATTAAATACCCTAATTCGGTTCTTCTATTCTGTTTTGTGCCGCATATCAGAGTTCAAATGAATATTGATTTCTCTGTTGTGATTGAAAACCATTTCATTTTTGGAAAACTAGCCAAAAATTTTGGAAGCGATTCTGAGGAACGGTGCAACTCTCTTTGATTATTCCAGCCCATTCTACGCCAATGTGCATCGCTTAAGGTACGAACCTTTTTTTCCCTGGGTGTGTCTACCCCACACGAGTGGTATCAATATTAAGACGACAAATTGTCATTTGTCGTACACAAATGACAATAAAATTAAACCTTCACAGAAAAATTGAATGAAATATACTGTTTTCAACCCACTCGAATAGATCGGCAAAATTGTTTACATTTCGGGAGTATGTCATTTTAGGATGAGAAATAAAAATAAACGCTTTTTAAAACTGATATGTGAATCGAAAGGAAAAGTGTTGGCAATTGAAAGGCTCTCCTCATGTGGAAACACAAAAGCGAGTATAAACATATTAGCAAGCATTGAAAAAAATGCCAAGTTACGTATATTAATGAAATCATTTCATAAGCGTAATTCTTTTTTAAGCAATTGGAATTTCTCTAAGATATTTGGACTTTTTTTTAAATACACTTTTTTAAAAATATGATTCGTATTTTTAAGAAATCAGATTTAATTTGCGATTTATTTTGAATGGAAGTTTTTTTTTAATATTTAAATTTAATTATTTTGAATTGAAGTCGTCGGTCGGATCCACCTACGAGTTTTTGTAATTTCATCCCAATTTGGCGTAACAAATGCCGTAATAAATTTGGCACTCCATCAGCCATAGTATTAAAAAATAAAGGAATTACCTTCTAAAGACAGCACTACTGAAAAACAAAGGTTTTTTCATTAAATGACAAGAAAGTAACACTAGACCGCGTCAATTATTAAAAGTATCATCGGATGAAAAATGCCAGGAAAGGAGGCGGCATATTTTAATCAGGTCATCATTTGATCATGGGACAGTTTCGACTTGTAAATGCTTGGTTTTACATAGACTAAGCACTTACTCAAAAGGAACAGCGCGCTACGGTATGTCACAGCGTTGTTCGCCTTCATTTCACCCAATAGGCAGAAACGGACCAAACTCGGGTATGTTTCCTGCCAGTGGGATTAGGTATTGGTAAGAGGCAGTGCCACCAATTAGATACAATTTTATTGAAGCCCTATATCCCTGGTACAAATTGGCAGTAGAATCTGTGTTCCAAAATATCATAGACCTACAGCCGGCTGTAAGATTTCCAATAGCTTCTATAGCCGGCTACACAATTTCTTACAGCCTTTTACAGCCGATGGCGATTAAGCAACAGCCTGGCGATAAAGTGTATTCTAATCGTTACTAATTATGGATTCTAGGACTTAGTGAGTTTTTGGACTACCTCTCTCTTTTTGGGCCGTAGTATCTTGATTTATTTTGCGAGAAAAGATCCGTTCTTATGATGGATGTCTGCCATTACTGATTTATTAGAGCGCCTTCAGTTTCGTATGATACTGTGCAACACCTCTGGTGTGAAATAGTTGCTTCAAGCGCCGTGGCAGGTGGGCAGCCAGCGCGAATCACGCATTGGCGCCTACAAACCTAACAGGGATACTTCACGCGTTGCGCAATGCGTGAAGTATCCCTGTTAGGTTTGTAGGCGCCAGTGCGTCGCCGCTCCGCTTTGTGTTAGGCTCTAATATTTAATCTGGCGGAGTTAGCGTTATTCAACTCATGATTTTGAAACGTTTGCACATCCTGTATAGATTATTCTCATTTTAATTGATGAAAAAAAAAATATGTATTAAAGGAAAATGTAATGTGTGTTTTGTAAATATTAAGGTGGTTCCGTATCAAACTTAATGATTTCCAAAGCACACGAATTTCTTCACAATTTCTTATATCCTTTTATAATCGATGGCAACAAAGCAACAGCCAGTCGATAAAGTGTAAAGCCCGGCGATAGGAACTATAGCCCGGCTGCATAATTTTTGATCGCTTCGTATAGCCCGGCCGTATGATTTTCTCCGCATTCTACAGCCAGCTATATGATTTTCTGTAGCCTTCTTTAGCCGGCTGTAAGAATTCCTATGGTATTTTGAAACGCAGCTCTTAGCGCCAATTTTTACCAGGGTAATTAACTTGAATACCTAACATAAAAATGTATTCAAACGATAACAGTGATTTCTGGAAAACAAAATAAATCGATATCAGTCGAATAATCGATAAATGTATATGTTACCGGCAAACCCAGGTCCGCCAGGTCATCAGGCAAACCTAGGTTTGCCAAACGCCATATCAGGCAAACCCTGATTTTGTTTTTCACCACAAATACGACAGTCTTAACTGTTTTTTTCACCGCAAAATGTTGGTAGGCAGATTGTGGAGACCAAATTTTTATAGATTGAAGTAGACTTTACTCAAGGAACACGTGCATCGTACAACACTGAGAAAAGCTACAAATAAAAGGGGAAATGGGAAAATTGATAATTACATAAGTTTAAAAAAATGTCATTTAAATGTTTAAAATAGTAATGATCCCTTCATATTGAGGCATCTTCGCATACCAATTGATAAGAACATTTCCTTCTTCTAGCCGTATTGCCGTACATCGTCTTCGTTGCACGAATAACGCCCAAATAAAGTTAAGCGGTACGGTCATATTTGCGTTTAAAAACAAAATTGGGGTATGCCTGAAAGGGCGTTCGGGAAACCTAGGTTTGCCTAGTTTATTTTTTTCTGATAATTAGGCTCTTTCCTAAAATTTTCGGGCAAACCTAGGTCTGCCGGTAACTTCAGAAGGGATGAAAAAACGGAAATCGAAAAAGTTTTAAAGAAGGCTAAGCAAACCATTCATTAACAATTTTGACTGAAATGCCTTCAGGCAATCGTTTGAGGCTAGTAGTACACATCTGAGTTCGATAAGGGTGCATTTATAATAGCCAATGACCGAATTTAGCCGATTTTGGACATTGGCCTGCCAATATTGACACTGGCTGGTCATTTCAGCCACTGCCGACCTTGGGTGAATTCGGTCATCGGCTATAACACATACAAAATTGGGAGGGTGCATTTGCGAGCCAGAAACCGAAAACGATTAATACTCGAAAAAACCACTCAAGGCTTCATTTTGAATTCCATGACCAATTCCGTCAATTAATTCTCCCGTGGGGATGACAAAGTCCATACATTGAAATTTAACACAATAAAATTAATTTGCTAAACGAACAAGCTCTTTCTGGAAAGGTCCAACGTAGATATATATGATTGGTTTGCCGAAAGTCATCCAGTTGTTTTTTTATGTGAAAATTATGTGTTTGATCCGGAAAAATTCTTTCGACAGGACTCCATAACGGAATATGTATCTAATTCGCAAAAAGTCCATGGCATTATCAGCGATCATCTTTATTTTCTCCGTGATACTCTCGCCTGTCACTCTCGATTCAATATCGCTATTCAGAGACAAGGATTTCCACCATCATCGATGTGACATTGAGGTCAAAGGTTGCAAGCCGGTGTGCCACGGACTGGAAAGGGAGGCTTCATCGCTGCGAGGGAATGCCTCTTGTGTTCATTTTTACCGACGAGAAAACTGCGAGTCGTACATAGGGTCTTGGAATTCGACTATGGGCGACCTCCGTAACTTCAAGAAAACGGACGCTCAAGATGCAATCGTTTCAGTCGGGGACTGTAAGCAACCGATCGACGTGAGTATTGAGTAATGCCTACCCATTGCCCAAGCCGGAGAGACGCGGTCGAGGGGACTTGAGGGATGGGAGGGGGGGAGTGGTTCCCCCTTCCCCTATCATTTTGTCCTTTCTTCAAGAAGGGAGTACTGAGATCAAAGACTACATAGAGTCGTAATATATAAATGGGAGAGATGGCGCCATGTTCTGGTCGACGAGTTCCAAGCCCGGTGTGCGCCGAGCTTCCGTCACTATTTCGATACATTTTCCATCCAAAATGGCGATGTGTAATACGTAGTAATTTCTATCCTCTTTTTTTAACATCTCTGCCGTGATTGCGAAGAGAGCAGTGTGTGTCAAATTTTCGAAATCGAGTCTCCTTCAAAATTCGTCTAATCTCTTGAAGATAAAATCACTTAAGTAGCTAAATCTGCCAAGTAGCCATGTGAACCAAAATCTTGATTTCGCAACCAAATTTTATACCTTCCTCTGCATACGCTACTGATGTCACTTTTTTCATTTTTTTTTTTTTTTTTTTTTTTTTTTTTTTTTTTTTTTTTTTTTTTGCAGCCGCCAAATTCCATTTCGTTCTACGAGCATGCACAATTCGGCGGGAAGAAGTGCAACATAAAGGTGGGAGGTTGCCAACCGATGTGCCCAGAATTGGACAACCAAGCCTCCTCTGCAGATGGAGACGCCGTTTGCGCCAAGGTGTACAACGAGCCCAACTGCAAGGGATATTTGGGGGACTTGTACGATTTAAAAGTGAGCCCTAATGGATACCGAAACTTCAAAAAAAAAAACTTCCAAGACAGGATTTCCTCCATCAGCGACTGTTCGAACAGAAGCGTCTCGTTCTTCGAGCACCACAACTACCAAGGGAAGAGGTGTGACTTGGAGTTGAAAGGTTGTAAGAGGATGTGCCCCGAGTTGGATAAAAAAGCCTCTTCCGTGAGAGGAGAAGTCGGCTGCGTCCGTCTATATTACGATGCAAACTGCACGGACTATATAGACTGGGTAAACGTCTCGCCTAGCGGTGGAAGGTACTACAACTTCAAATATCGTGCTAAATATTGGCCCGTTATTAACGATCAAGCCTCTTCCGTTAAGGACTGTATCACCACTGACAGTGGTAATTTTGTGTTCAGCAGGCCCCTTGGCCTGCACCCCTGGGATGTTCCAAAGCCGTAGGATCGCGTACGAGAATTGGACCCGGTGATTCTTCATGAAGAGGTCCATTGGATGATGATGAAACATTTACCCATGCATAATACACTTGCGATATAACGAAACTCTAAGATTTAATATTTTTAAGCGCCCTATGTTTAATGGTAAGCTTGTTGCAACATTTCTGGTTTATAAAGTTTCATCAGAATAATTGTTTGGGAATCCTAATGTGGGAAAGAGTCGCGGGGGGGGGGTCTCCCCCTGGAAATTTTCATTGATGGGGGTACAAGAGACGCTATTTTGATCTTACTCAATGTAAGTGTCAAGCCTGTGAATTGAAGAACTAATAATATCTAATATTATGTCAAATCTTTTCAAGGGCAAGTTTTTCAGTTTAGTCTCAGTGAAAGTGTTGCCAGTGCTTTCAGCCTGGCATCGAGCATTTGGTTAACCTCCTTCATTTACTTACCTAAAAATTCCTATACTTTTTCCTTTTCTCCCCCTTATACATTAATGTGATCTAATATCAACATTCATTTCCTTCTGAGTGAATTGTCCATCTCAGCTGAAACGCACTCATCATCATGGTCAGTTGCAAGTAAGGTGCGTATCGCCACAAAAACACGTAATTGATGTCAGTTTGAAGCATGTTTAATGTGCAAGAATGGCTTCGAATTTTCGACCGGGAGGCTAATACAACAGCGAAAATTAGTATTTTTAAAATTTAAGTTATTTACTGATTTTTGTAATGATTCCTACAGATTGTATAGTCCTCTAACATTGATCCTGTGTTTTATAATATTTCCTCTATTTTCCAGGGAGGGAATTATCAGGTTTAGCTGCACAAAATTTTAGTGAATATATTCGTATGGGTTGTCCGAAAACAAAAATACCTATAAATAAAGAAAAACTGAAGAAGGGACATTTACTTGATTTTCTTTGGACGCCTTACCAAGGATTTATTGCGGGAACATTCGGGCCGGCCTACTGTAAATTCTTCCTTCATTATTAATTCGTTTCGTTATGACCCCTGTTCACTGGTGTTACGATTGATGTTCGTAGGAAGGAAACGGTAACGTTAGAAGTATTTCTAACTGGACTCTTCACTAACTCTTCAGAGAAAAAAAATCAAATACGTGAACATGAGCTCTCGAAATGTTCCCGATGTGACCACAAAACGACTTTGCCGCGTTCGTCGTTTTTAGATCAGAGCAGGTATGGCCCGGAACCCACATTCTAGGACGGCAAAGTTATTATACATTTAAAATATCGAAGCATCATTCGAAATATTGACGATTTCGCAAAAAAATCAGTTTAAAAAATTTAGGTAAAATTGGTTTACTTCATTTGCACCATACGCAACGCTGGAAGTGAGTAGTAACTGTTTAAGACGAATTCGCAATGCGCCCTTAGTTAGTGTCAAATGCAACGATCACGATACAAATTTCAGTTCAACTCCTGGATGCAACTATTTAAGCTCTGTTGATGTCCGCGTTGCATACGCACGGAAACGTAGGCGCTCTATCGTTTTGACTGTCCACTGTTCAGGTATACTCACCACTTGACCCGCGGCCGGGGCCGACGACGGCGAGTTTTGCTTCCAGGATTCAAAATGGTAGAACGCTTTTAGCTCCTCGATTATACCATAAAAATATCTCCTAGGCACGAATAGTTGCTTACAGGCATAGCATGTGAGTATCTTTTGTGCTTCAGTCTTGAAATCGCCATGTGTTGAGCATCATATGTAGAGCAATCTGTTCATACTTAAGAGATACCTTTAAAGTATGAATGAAGAATCGAAGGCACTCTGTCATTCTCATTTCATTTAAGATCCTTCATGACAAATGACAGAGTGCCTTCAGTCCTTTATACTCATATGTTTTATCTAAGCGCGCCACACTATGAAACGGGACTGTAACTGCAATAACTGCAATAATTGTGATGTTTATTTCTCCACACCACCACTAATTGTAAAGGATGTTTCTCGCAGGAAATTATACGATGTAATCAGTGAAAATCCCTAGAGTTTGACGTCCCATACTTATGAACATCGAAATGAGATTTTAATGTTTCTACATCTTGTAAGACTCGCCTCCTTAACTTGCCTCACCGAGCGCCGCTGGTTGTCTGAAGTCAAAACGCCTTCTTTTCCAAGCGTATGCCATACGGACATCCAAGGAGCTCAAATAGTTGCATTTAAGCGTTATAAGAAGATTCGTTTAGTATTAGTCGCATGCAATACTGAATACAGCCTTGATTGTTTATCTTACATCTTCACCTAATTCCAGCGTTGCCCATTGTGCTGATGAAGTAGTGCATTGCTGATTTACATAGCCACATTGTCAATTTTACGAAACATTCATTTTAAAATCTATAACAACGTCACCGCCCCTCGAAATCGCAAAAAATTAGGTGTTCGCTCGAGCTTGAATTTAAGAATTTCCTTTAACTTACTTCATTAAGTAGTCCTTTGTTGGAATTTTTCTTCCTTTGGGAAAAGTAATTTTAACGTTTAAGGGGGACGACCCAAAACCGCACAGATCGAAATATCTTACCTGAAAACCAGAGACCCTAAACCGAACACGATGATGTATCATTAGCAATAGGGGGGAAAAGGAACATACCTTATATTTTGACTGGTTGGCAACACTGTCGTATTTGTATCAGACTTTCATATATTCTGTAATGACGTTTACAGGCTGTACAGACATTTTCCCGCTGGGCAAACAGCGTGACACGCGCATCGCGCATAGGCGCCTATAAACCTAAAATGATACTTGACGCATTGCGCAATGCATGAAGTATTCCTCTAGGTTTGAAGGCGCCAGTTACAGCCATCCTGCAGCCTTCCTGCAGCACGTTGGCAACGCCAACGTGCCGAAGGAAGCGCAGCAGCTTTGACTCATCTCTCTCTTCATAGTCATCGCGATCTTCTGCAGATTTTTCTGTAGTGTGAAGGACTGCGTATTCTCTCAATAAAAAGTTCTGTTTTTTTTTAACAGCAGTTTTAATTATTGCTTGCCGGTTCTTCAGGAAGGGGTTAATATTCAGATCAGTGTCTACCTGCATTTGAGCCAGGACGTCAGTAACTAAAAAAACCGAGGGTTCAGAGGGGTAAAAATACTACCGATCCTCGTCGAAAATATGCGATAATGCACACATACTTGCGTAACAACTCAATTTTTCCTATCATATTCGAACTGGCCTCGCGATCTCATGTTGTCAAATTATTGCAGTAAAAGCATGTGTTTAATTTCTCATGTACGTTGTTACGCTGTGCGTGCGGTTTTGTCCGCCAAAATAATGTGCTGTTTTGGGCTGTGCCATACTGTGCGGTTTAGGGCTGGATCCGCGATGGGTGTGCGGTTCTGGGCAACCCCGCGTTTAAAACGCCCTAGGGAGAAAACTTTAACTTACGCAATAAACAGTACTTTAAAACTCATTAACCCTCAAATAGTGTAGGGGTTGCGAGGGGGTGAAACAGCCAAACAGCACGACTTCAGCAATGATCAACACCTTGCTCCACCCGGGTCCAAAACGCAACTACCTCAGAAAGCTTCCCCGGGGAAGTGGCCGCACTCTAAGCCGGAAAACTCGACGATTGATCGGTCAGCAAATTTGGCCGAACAATCGTCACTTTTTCGGACTGAAGACGACCACGAACGGGCATTCTTTCCGCTGAATTCGATGTAAGGTCAAGTCACATCATGCAATCCTCAGCATTTGCACAGGTGTAATGCTCGCGCGACCCACTTTCAGCCTGCCTCTGGCTTGCCGTTCGTCGCCCGAGCATACCACCCACGACGCAGCGGAGTTTTCCACCGAGGTTGGTTGGAGGGTGTTTGATGGGGTTTCCAGAATCTTTCGCTGAAAGATCCTGGAAACCACCACAATAGATAGGTGTTTGATGGTCCAATGAGGTTTTTAAATTCTCGGTGCTAAATATTTCGAATTTAAATTAGTTTTGATTACTTCAATTCAACTGAGATTCATCTTGTGTTTGGGTGCTAACCTTCAATTTCGCTAAATGACTTTGACAAACGTCATAGTTAGGCAAATAAAAATGCGCTGCCTCTTTGTCCTTCATTGACTATAACGAAGGAAGCGTTCCTTTTAAGACTTCGCTAGGTATCAAAGCTACAACAGGGAAAAATTGATCGACTCAAGTTAAGCCAGCCTTTTTGCCAGCAAGCTCCATCCGGAAAGATTTTTAGCTCTGCAAGAGCCTCCATATAAATACGATTTTGCTAATAAAACTTGGGGGACTTCTCTCGAAAAACGATCCAAATTAGAAATTTTGCAATGTTCCAGGTACAAGTACTCACAATTTAATCATAAAAGTATTCGACATACTCGTAATCGTGAAAGCACCCACCAGCGTACATCGCAAGTATATAGCAAAATACGATTTTTACCTTTTGCGCTGTATTAAAATTTCTGATACGGTTGGAATGTTTTAAATTTTAGGTTTTTTTTCTTTAAACATCTGTTTCAAAATACCAATATTTGTTTCACTTGTACAGAAAAAATATCTGAACTTTTAGGATGCTAAAGAAAAGTAACACGCTTGATTTGTCTACGTCCCGGTCAGAGAACTTGGATAAAAATCATCAGAACTCGCGGATACCTCGGTAATAATTGAAATTATACACGTTTAAAATACTTTGATGGCAAACGAAAGGTCTCCTCTTCTGAAAACAATTTGTTTGAAAACGCACACATACATGACGCTCTCGCAGCACTTCTTGACGCTCTGCAACACAAAACTGCCACAGTCTTTTAAGTATCTCCCGAAACACTGCAGGGTGCACTAAGGGCTGTTTCCTTCCTTTTTTCCATGGAGAAACTCACTCAAGCATCTATTTTGACTGTTCTTTTCTGGCATTCTATACACATGAGTCACTAGACCCAGTATTTGGTATACCATCGTCAAACATGCTGTCATTCTCCGTTTCCGTAGTTTGCATATCACTTATTGATTTTTGATGGAGGCTTTTCATCTGTCTCACCGGTAATTACAGAACCCTCCCGTACGTTAGACTCCGATAGTGTAAACCAAAAAAGTGTCATAAAGAGAAAATGATGATGATTTTATGTGCACTCAGGTGTTACCTTGAAATGCTGAAGAATTTGCAAACAAGAAAACGGGTTATTAAGGTCTAAACCGTGTTCAAATTTTCAGAGTAAGCGGCCTTCATATACCGCAACACACCTACTTGAACAAAAATTAAATATCCTTATTCGGTTCCTCTATTCTGTTTTGTGCTGCATATCAAAGTTCAAATGAATATTGATTTCTCTGTTGTAATTGAAAACCATTTCATTTTTGGAAAACTAGCCAGAAATTTTGGGAACGATTCTGAGGAACGGTCAGTAAGTGATGTCTCTTTGATTATTCCAGCCCATTCTACGGCGATGTCCATCGCTTAAGTTACGACCTTTTTTTTCTTCTTTTTTTTCTAGAAGATTAGAAATAAAAATAAACGCTTTTTAAAACTGATATGTGAATCAAAGGAAACGTATTGGCATTTGAAAGGCTTTCCTCGTGTGGAAACAAAAATGTGAGTATGAAAATATTAGCCAGCAATGAGAAAAACGCCCGATTACGTATATTAGTGTACCTAATTACTTCTTAAGAGTAATTTTTTATAAACAATCGGAATTTCTTTCAAAATAGCGGCACTTTTTTTAACACATTTTTTACATATCGACGGTGAAACTACCAAACCACGTATCTCGGTTTGCGACGTCGCAGACTTCCTGTCATACTTTATTTTTTAAATGAAAAACCAGTCTTGAAAATTTCTGTGATTTTTCCTCTTCGTGCGGAAAAAATTCCATGAAAATTTCAAGGAATGATATTGATTTGGTCTACTTCAAAAAAATAAAATGTGAGCGTAGATTTTTAAACACCGCAAACGAGGTACGTGGTTTGGTAGTTTCACCGTCGATATATGATTACGTGTATTCAAAAAATCAGATTTACTTTGCGATTCATTTTCAATGGAAGTTTCTTCTTAAAATTTGAATTTAATTATTTTTAATTGAAGTCGCCCGTCTGATCTACTTACGAGTTTCAGTGATATCATTCAGATTCAGCGTAACAACGCCGAAATCAATCTGACACTCCATCAGCCATAGTATTAAAAAATAAAATAAGTATCCTTAGCTCTAAAGACAACACTACTGAAAAACAAACTTTTTTTCAATTTAAAGACAAGGGAGTAACACTGAACTGAGTCAATTATTGAAAGTATCATTTAAAGTGTAGGTATCGCCAGGCAATGAGGCGGCATATTTTAATTAACCTCATGTCAACCTCTGATGGTGCAACAGTTTCGGCTTGTCAATGATTAGTTTCATACAGGGTGGCCCAGACCTACTGAATATCGGATATCGAAAAAGTTACGCGAACCACGTCCGTAATGAAATAGGTTTCATTGAAAATGTTGAGTGGAATGCCTTTCAGCATTCGTATAAGGCTGGTATTATACATCTGAGTTCGATGAGGATTCCGCGGTTTTAATTAGGGATGACAAACTTCGTTTAAATTTAACACTATAAAATTCATTTGCTAAACGAACAAGCTCTTTCTGAGAGGCCCGATGTAAATGACTGGTTTGCCAAAAGTCATCCACATAATTGTTATGTGAAACTTATGTGTTTCATCTTGAAAAACCCTGTCGACAGGACTCCCAAGGCTCAAAATGTATCGATTTCGCAAAAAGCCCATGGCATTATCGGCGATCACCTTCATTTTCTCCGTGATACTCTCGCCTGTCACTCCCGATTCAATATCGCTGTTCAGAGACAAGAATTTCCACCATCATCGATGTGACATTGAGGTCATTGGTTGCAAGCCGGTGTGCCACGGACTGGAAAGGGAGGCTTCATCGCTGCGAGGGAATGCCTCTTGTGTTCATTTTTACCGACGAGAAAACTGCGAGTCGTACATAGGGTCTTGGAATTCGACTATGGGCGACCTCCGTAACTTCAAGAAAACGGACGCTCAAGATGCAATCGTTTCAGTCGGGGACTGTGAGCAACCGATCGACGTGAGTATTGAGTAATGCCTACCTATTGCCCAAGCCGGAGAGACGCGGTCGAGGGGACTTGAGGGATGGGGGGGGGAGTGGTTCCCCCTTCCCCTATCATTTTTTCCTTTCTCTAGGAAGGAGGTACTGAGATCAAAGAGTATATAGAGTCGTAATATATAAATGGGAGAGCTGGCGCCATGTTCTGGTCGACGAGTTCCAAGCCCGGTGTGCCCCTAGGGTGCGGCTTATACGAGAAATTAAAAAGGTTGAATTTTGAAATTGACAAGGGACCCCACCAAAACGTTCCTAATAGTGTAAAAACAAACGTTGTAGAACAGTTTTGCATTTGGTCAACATTTAGAAGTTGCTAAATTTGGCTAATTTTCGCATTTTTTCGTCAATTTTGGCAAATTTTCTCAGGCCTTACTGAGAGTTCTAATCGGTCAATTTATTCATAAATAGGCAGTACATAACCTAAAATGTACCCCATCCTCCCCCTGAAGCCCCCCAGCCCCCCGAACCCCCCTCCCTCACCGATCCAATATAAATACATTCATTATAAACTACGCTATTTTGGTAGTGACCAGAGATCTAAAGTAACACTGGTCAACACGGGTTCAAATGTGATTGATCTAGGGTAGTTTTTAGCGCTGAGTCCGAAAATGACCTCCGTCATGCAGGGTCAGGTCGATTTTCCTCGGAAAATCAGGATTTTCCCTGAACATCGAGCTTTTCCGGTGAAAAATCAATTTTCCGGAAAATCTGTGCATGATGGAGGAAAGATAAGGTCATTTTCGGATTCAGCAGCTAAAATTACATGGGAGACCATATCGACGGTGAAACTACCAAACCACGTATCTCGGTTTGCGACGTCGCAGACTTTCTGTCATACTTTATTTTTTAAATGAAAAACTACTTAACGTTCAGTCTTGAAAATTTCTGTGATTTTTCCTCTTTGTGCGGAGAAAATTCTGTGAGAATTTCAAGAAATGATATTGATGTGGTCTACTTCAAAAAAATAAAATGTGAGCGTAGATTTTTAAACACCGCAAACGAGATACGTGGTTTGGTAGTTTCACCGTCGATATGTTGCATGCCTATTGAAGTTTCTGTTCTGTTCCAAATATCGAGGTTTTTCCGGACAAGTGCCCCTTTCCGCCCATGTAACGCATGTAATATCAGTCCGATTGATTTGCGTCAGAAAGGAGGGAAAATCTTTTTTCTCAGGCGACAGGTGGAGTTGGATCCACTAAATTAGTGCCGCTGCAGCCAAAAATGACCCTCGTTTTCCTCCAAAGTCTATCAATTTTTTTGAAAAATCGATTTTTCGAAAAAAATGCACCTTTTTAACTCGAAGACGTTTAAAAACATCCCATATTTTCGGAATCTGGATTTTCCAAAGGTTCTGAAAGGAAACGAGGGTCATTTTTGGCTGCAGCGGCACTAATTTAGTGGATCCAACTCCACCTGTCGCCTGAGAAAAAAGATTTTCCCTCCTTTCTGACGCAAATCAATCGGACTGATATTACATGCGTTACATGGGCGGAAAGGGGCACTTGTCCGGAAAAACCTCGATATTTGGAACAGAACGGAAACTTCAATAGGCATGCAACATATGGTCTCCCATGTAATTTTAGCTGCTGAATCCGAAAATGACCTTATCTTTCCTCCATGATGCACAGATTTTCCGGAAAATTGATTTTTCACCGGAAAAGCTCGATGTTCAGGGAAAATCGACCTGACCCTGCATGACGGAGGTCATTTTCGGACTCAGCGCTAAAAACTACCCTAGATCAACCACATTTGAACCCGTGTTGACCAGTGTTACTTTAGATCTCTGGTCACTACCAAAATAGCGTAGTTTATTATGAGTGTATTTATGTTGGATCGGTGAGGGAGGGAGGATCTTTACTTTCAGACGCCTTCATTTAGTCATGGACTTATATACATATGTGCCTTGTCAAGGTCGACTTCCAAAAAAGGAATCAATATTCACAGTGAGGAGAAAGTCATTCAGACCATTATTTGGTGGGCAACTTTTCTTTGAAACATCGTTTTGTTATTCGATAAAAATTATTTGCTCATTAACCGCCAACGGGCGATTTCGACGATTTCGCTGCCCTGTCTTGGGGGCGCGCGCGCCTCAGGGGTTGGGCCGCGTAGCGGCCAGGAGACAGAGTCCCGTAGTCGATAAAGGGAAACAATTTTGTAAAAAGTGCCCCGCCAATCACTGAAAGAAATCACTGGAATCACTGCATACGTAATCAAAGGTAGAAATTAAAGAGGAAATTAATTTTGAGCACAGAAAAAAATGACCGGTAATGGTCGGAAGAGAGAGTGTTTTAAGGGCGGGATATGGAAATCTCCAAAAAACCGGAAGAGAAAGCGGGGGTGGAGGAAGAGAAGGGAAAACGGATTGAGTGGGTGCAGAATGGCAAACGAGGGGTGGGAGGGGTGATGCAATACAAGGGAAGAGGAAGGCTCGGCCTTGGAAGAGGTAGTGGACACGTTAGTATTTTCAACTTGAGGTCAACCTCAGCTTCCCATTTTATATAGATTAGGATTAGCCATGTGAGCCGTAATCTTGATTTTGCAACCAAATTTTGTATCTTCCTCTGCATACGCTACTGATGTCACTTTTTTTTCATCTTTTTTTTGCAGCCGCCAAATTCCATTTCGTTTTACGAGCATGCACAATTCGGCGGGAAGAAGTGCAACATAAAGGTGGGAGGTTGCCAACCGATGTGCCCAGAATTGGACAACCAAGCCTCCTCCGCAGATGGAGACGCCGTTTGCGCCAAGATGTACAGCGAGCCCAACTGCAAGGGATATTTGGGCGACTTGTACAATTTAAAAGTGAGCCCCAATGAATACCGGAACTTCAAGAAGCATCGGGATACCAAAGTCCTCCGAGACCAGATTTCCTCTATCAGTGACTGTTCGAACAGAACCGTCTCGTTTTTCGAGCACAAGCATTTTAAAGGGAAAAGGTGCGACTTGGAGGTGAAAGGTTGCCAGAGGATGTGCCCCGAGTTGGATAAAAAAGCCTCTTCCGTGATAGGAGAAGTCGGCTGCGTCAGGCTCTATAAAGATGCCAACTGCACGGACTATCTAGAATCGATAGTCGTCTCGCCTAGCGGGAGAAGGTACCGGGACTTCCAATATCATCCATATAAACATTATTGGAAAAAAATTAACGATCAAGCCTCTTCCATTAAGGACTGTATCACCACTGACAGTGGTAATTTTGTATTCAGCAGGCCCCTTGGCCTGCACCCCTGGGATGTTCCAAGGCCGTAGGATCGTGTACGAGAATTGGAGAAGGTGATTCCTTATGAGAAAACACATCGGATAATGATGGAATATTTACCCATACATAAATATTGTTGCGATACTACACCACTTCAAGAATCAAGATGTAATATTTTTATGCGCCGCATGTTTAATGGTAAACTTGTTGCAACATCTTGTTTATAAATTATATTATCAGAATAATTGTTTAAAAATCCTAAGGTGGGAAAGAGTCGCGGGGGGGGGGTCTCCCCCCGGAAATTTTCAGAGTCCCTTTATACTGAGAGTCAAGACAATGTGAATCCATTTCTGATTGGTTCCCGTATTTTAGGCCTTCACAGTGTCACAAACGGGAATAAAGGTTATTTTTTCACCGATTGCAAAGATTATAATCTGGAATGGACCAGGGAATTACGGTCTCGGCAAGGAACAAACGGAATGACAGAAGGAACGGAGAAAGGAATTTAGGAATGGGCCGATCAAAGATTACGAAAAACGTTCAATTTGTGTAATCTTTATTCCCGTTTGTGACTCCATGAGGGTGTGTTGTCTTGACTCTCAGTATAAAGGGACTCTAGAAATTTTCATGAATGGACGTACTAGAGACGCTATTTTGATCTTACTCAATGTATGTATCGAGCCTTTCAGAATTGAAGAACTGATAATATTTAATATAATGTCAAATCATTTACAAGGGCAAGTTTTTCAGTTTGTTCTCAATGAAAGTGTTGCGAGTGCTTCCAGCCTGGCATCGGGCATTTGGTTAATCTCCTGCACTTGCTTACCTAAAAATTCCTACTTTTTCCTTTTCTCCCCCTTATATATTAATGTGATCTATCAACATTCATTTGCCTCTGAGTGAATTGTCCATCCCAGCTGAAACGCACTCATTATTATGGTCAGCTGCAAGTAAGGTTCGTATTAGTACAAAAACACGTAATTGATGCCATGGTTTGATTCATGTTTAATGTTCAAGAAAGGACTCACATTTTTGACCTGGAGGCTACTGAAACAACTAAAATTAGTACTTTTAAAATTTAAATTATTTACTGTTCAAAGTATTCGAGTTTCGTAATGATTCCTATAGATTGTATAGTCCTCTCACATTGTTCTTGTGTTTTATAATATTTCCTCTATTTTCCAGGGAGGGAATTATCAGGCTTAGCTGCACAAAATTTTAGGGGAGGGTGGCCTGAAAACAAAAATATCTACAAATAAAGAAATACTGGAAAAGGGACATTTACTTTCATTTTTTAAACGGCTTACCGAGGATTTAATGCAAGAACTTTGGGCCGGCTTTCTGTAAATACTTTCTTCATCATTGATTCGTTTTTTAAGTAATTAGAATTGTTTCAAATACGCGTTAAGATGCACTGTCGAATTTTTCCTGAAGAGACCACAAAACGACTTTGCCGCGTTCGTTGTTTTTAGATCAGAGCAAGTATGGCCCGGAACCCACATTCTAGGGCGGCAAAGTTGTTATACATTTAAAAAATATCGAAGCATCATTGGAAAAATTGACGATGTCGCAAAAAAATCAGTTTAAAAAATGTAGGTAAAATTGGTTTACTTCATTTGCACCATAGGCAGCGCTGGAAGTGAGTAACTGTTAAAGACAATTTCGCAATGTGCCCTTAGTTAGTGTCGAATGCGACGCTCACGATACAAATTTCAGTTCAACTCCTGGATGCAACTATTTAGGCTCCGTGGATGTCCGCGTTGCATACGCACGGAAACGTAGGCGCTCTATCGTTTTGACTGTCCACTGTTCAGGTGTTGAGCATCATATGTAGAGCAATCTGTTCATATTTAAGAAATGCCTTCAAAGTATGTATGAAGAATCGAAGGCACTCTGTCATTTTAGATCCTTCATGACAAATGACAGAGTGCCTTCAGTCCTTTCTTAGTACTTGGGGGCCATGCCCCCTGGCGGCCCAACCCCCAGCCCAGAGGGCGCTTTGCGCTCTCTTAGGCCTGCGTCGACAAAAGAACGACCAAAAAAAAAAAATAAAACGATTTTCACACTCGAATCTTATTTGTCTAATCTGTCTCTGACTGGGAGCGATTGGACTAATAAGAATCGAATGAAAAAACTGGCATTTATTTCAAACTTCACGCCAAGACTGAAACGAAACGGAACGGAGCGTTTCGTCACTTTGGGATAGTCTGTAGTAAAGGAGCATGCTTTCGATTCACTTATCCTACTAACAGACCAAGATTCAACATTTCCCGCTTTGTCCAATTTTCTGCTAAATTTGAAACTTCCACCATTTTCCATTGGCGGGAATTTCAAATTTTGCTCCCGTTCCTAAACTGTCTGAGATACTTTTATATAAAAAAAACCTGGGTCATATTTTCAAATTCAAATTTATGATCACAGCGAGCTCATTTAGGGGTTATCACCTGTAAAAATCATGGAAATTGGTCCAGTAGAAGGCTCAAACGAACTGTGACAAAAAATGAAAAATTACATTGTTTAAATAGGTGAATTTGCAACTTTACCTCGTCATATACAAAAACCTTGGTCGTATTTCCAAAATTTGTGTAAAGCGGGTTCATTTAGAGACAATTGCCTGTCGATTGCTGCAAAAATCTCAAAAATCGGCCGTGTAAAACGTCAGAATTAAGTGTTACCAGAAATGAAAATTTAGGAGGCTTGAAAGCTTTTAGTGTAGATGCTTTATCTACAAGCGCGTCGCACTATGAAACGAGACTGTAAAGTGTAACTGCAATAACTGCAATAATGTTGATGTTAATTCCTCCACACTACTAATTGTATAGGATATTTCCCGAGGGAAAATTATACGATTTAGTTAGTAAAACCGCTTCTAAAACTTCAGAACTAGACGTCCTATATGAACATCTATATAAGATTTTAATGTTTCCACATCTTGTAAGACTCGTCTCCTTGATTCGCCTGACTGAGCGCCGCTGGTTGTCTGAAGTCAAAACGCCTTCTCTTCCGTGCGTATGCAACACGGACATCCAAGGAGCTCAAATAGTTGCATTTAAGCGTTAAGAAGATTCGTCTAGTATCAGTCGCATGCGATACTAAATAAAGCCTTGATTGTTTATCTTACATCTTAACCTAATTCCAGGGCTGCCCATTGTGCCGATGAAGTAGTGCATTGCTGATTTAAATCGCTGCAATGTCAATTTTCCGGAAAATTCATTTTTAAATCTATAACAACGTCGCCGTCCCTCGAAATTGCAAAAAATAGGTGTTTGCTCGAGCATGAATTTGAGAATTTCCTTTAACTTACTTTAATAAATAGTCCATTGTTTGAATTTCTTTTCCTTTGGGAAAAGTCATTTTGACGTTCAAGCCGGGTCTTAGTAACAAAGCTGTAACTTACGTTTCAAACAGTACTTTAAAACTCATTAGCCCTCGAATATAGGCGTTTCAGGGTTCAATGAGGGTTTTTAAATATTGGTGCTACGTATTTAGATTTATATTAGTTTTGATTCCTTCATCTCGACTGAGAGTCATCTTGTTTTTGGATTGCTAGCATTCTATTTCGATGAATGACTTCGACAAACGTCTTAACTAGGCAAATAAAAATGTGTTTCCTGTTCCCTGGAGGAAGTAGAAATGCTTCATCGCCTTTAACGGGGAAAGCGTTCCCTTTATAAGACATTACCATCAAAGCCTCTTAAGACGCCACCTTCGTGGGTGTGACCTGCTCCAAAAAGTATTATAGCCCAAAAAAACTTAAAACTGAAAGAATAGACGATTGCGATTTTCGCACGTCCCGGTTCGAATCTTCTCCTCCCAGGAGGAACGCGATCGAACATTTTTAATGCCGGTCATGCTATCGTCATACCCTGTTGGCAAGACCGTTTCGAGTTGATTGTTTGGTCATGACCTCGAAAACGATGTTATTGCGCCGTTTGAATATACCTTATTAATTTTTGACGAGGGCTACCGGCTACCCACAGGGCCCACCAGCAATTTTGGAATTTCCCTTGACGTTGGATTCGTTTTTCGTACATCTAATAAAGAAATGATGATGATCTATGTGCATTCAGGTGTTGCGTTGACACGCTTAAGAATTTGCAAACAGGAAAACGCAAACGCGCCATGATATTAAAGCCACAGCTGAGTTCAAATGTTCACTCTGCCTTTCAAGACACCATTACGGTCATTTGCATCCACACAAATGTGATACCCTACTTTTATTTTTTTCTTTATTCTCTGATGGTTTATTGGCTTCGTGTCTGGCACCTGCAGCCAAGATATTCTACTTGAGATTTTATTTTTTTTATTTTTTAATGCCCGATATTTTTATTATCATGTGAAGTTTTGTTCCTTCTCAGTGACTCAAAATCATTTCATTTTTGGGAGATCGGTAGTAATTTCGGGAGCGATTTTAAGAAACATTTGGTAAGTAGAAATCTGTTCGATTATTCTAGCCAATTCCACACCAATTATTATGGCTAATGACAGAAAAAAACAACAATACATACATGAAGCCGCTTTTATAGTGCAGCCTCGCGCTCTGCGCGACGCCCAATCGCCATTGCCCCCTATCCTCCCAGGGATCATCAGGCAATTGACAACTTCTGATCTCCTCCTCCAACCCTTGTCGCCAACCTTTCACAGGACAAAAAACAACAATACTAAACGAACAAAGAGAACTATTGGATTAGATGAAATGTCATAACTGCTTTGTAAGTACAAAATTGAGTTCAGTGAGTACTGAACTTAATTTTAAATTTTCTTTAAATTTTAGGGATTAAAGAATTTTAAAGTGAAAAATGAAAATCGATGTTCGCTATAAACATGTCTTTAGTTGAAGCGGAATATTTTATTTTTGAAAGCATTTGCTCCAACGCCACATGCGGGAGGACTAAAATAAGCATAAAATAATCATTCATCACTGAGGAAAATTTTCTTTCGACGAGAAGTCATTTTTCATTGATTGAAATTTTTGTCTAAAAAACTGGCATTCATTCTGACATACCTTGACTATTTAAAAAAGAAAAATGAATGAAATTATTTTTGAAAAATCAGAATTCATTTCCATGAAGTGGTTTACATTTTGCAAAAAGGGACCAAGAGCATTCCAATGTCGCTAAGATAGCGCGGCATCTTTTTTTACATTGTAGTAGGATTGCATTTTGCAAAAAGGAACCAGGCACATTGCCATTTTGCCAAAATTGTGCAACTTCACCCTTAGCAATAAAACTACTGTAATCATACAAAAATATGAAATTTACACGGTAATTTTATCTTAATCTACAGTTATTAGCGTGTAAAATAGAGAATGTTTATTGACGAACAGATTTTCCTTCCAAGACAAAAGAAGTT